GGCCAGAGCTGAGGGGCTTTCAGAAATCCGTGGTAGCAGCCAGGTAAGCAGCTGGGTATTTACGCAAAGCTCTGGGGAGAGGTCTGGCTAGAGATTAAAGAACGGCAAGTCACCTGCATATACACGGTAATTGCACCTCATAGCAGCTCCCAGGGCGTGGGTTCACTCAAGGCCATGGCCACCAGCAGGGTTCGGAGTGAGGCCAGAGTCTGGATCATTCCTTTGCCGAAAAGACAGCTGGCCAAAGGAACTATAAGATTGCTTGGAAGCTAGAGTATTTGCACACCAAAACAACGTCTTCCAACACTCCATCCCTTCTGTCTCCTCAGACCATTTAATCTTTCTGGGCTATAGTGACCGCGGCCACCTTGGCCGCCCCCGAGCCGTCCAGACCCCCAGGCCTAGATCCTCTCTTCTTGGAAACTCTTCAGTGGGCTTGTTTCCAAAGTGCTCCCCGTGAGCCCAGGAGGCGGAGGAAGCGCTGGAGGCCGGGCACCCCAGCCCCTCTCTGTGGGGAGCCGCCTTCCTCCAGGGCTTCTCAGGCCCAGCAGGCTGCTCGGAGGTCGGAGGTCGGCTGCATCAGCCCACTGAATCCCCACCACCTCCTGGGAGACCAGGGTCATCCCCAGTGGACAGACAGGAGGTCAAGGCACGCTGCCCAGTGACACAGCTGGCAGGAGAAGGCTCGCACTGGAACCGGCACCTCCGAGACAAGATGGCACGAGTCAGTCACGGGGGACGTGGCCCAGCGTGGCCAGTCGGCAGCGAGTCAGAAGTGCACACATTTAGACCTTCGGCTCTGGCTTCACTTTCAAAAGGAATTTTTCCGCTTTCGTTTTCAAAGGGAATGTTTGAGAATTCTTGTTTGTAAAGGTTTTCAACCTTTACTTCACCCGGGTTGTCACCCAAACATATCAGTGCCAAAAAAAAGTTCACGGACAGTGAATCTGCTGGAAGCAGAAACTAAAATTCATAGGAAATAGTATGGAGAAAAGCTTGTATTTAGGCTTTGTTTTGAAAAATAAAAATAAAGATTATAAAAATAATATGATTTCATCTTATCTTAAATAAAACCTGGCTTATTAGTATAATGACTCCTTACTTCTGTGGATTTTTTTTTACCTTTTATTATGAAAAATTTCCATCAGAACAGTAAAGAGAATGGTATAACGAAACTCCATTATCTATTACCTAGATTTAACAATTGCTGACAATCTTTATATTTACTTTTACAGATATTGTGACATTTCAATGTGAATCTTTTCAAAAATGACATTTACTTACACAGACACAAAATTATCATCACACTTAAGAAAATCGATAAAAATTTCCTAATATCATCTAATACGCAGGCCACATTTAAATTTCCCCCTAATTATCCCAAAAAAATGTCTTATGGTTGGTTTGTTCAAAGATCCAGTCTAGAACCACTCGTGGCATGCAGCTGCTGTGACGTCTGGGTATCTTTTAATTATATATTGCACTGTCCAAAACGGTAGACATGCGCCACATGCGGCTATCTGAACTAATCAAAAATAAATAAATGATAAAAAATGAAATAATACTAAATGCAGCTCCTCACTCTCACTAGCCACACTTCCAGCGTCTAACAGTCACACCTGTGATGGAACATTTCCATCATCGCAGAAGACACTACTGCACTGGGCTGATCTAGAACATGCCCTTGTTCTAGGTACCCTGGCTGTCATCTTTTTATATATGACTCCGGCCTGTGGAAGAGATCTGGCCAGCTATTCTGTGGAATGCCCTCGCTTCTGGATTCGTCTGCTTGTTTCTCAGAGCGTCGTTTAACTTGTTGCCCTACCCTCTGTTTGCCTATCAACTCCGCCCTAGAGCTAAAGCTTGAGTGAATGCGGTTCTCGGAAGGCGCAGCGAAAGCACCCTGTTGATTGGGGCGGAGGAGTGATTCTTCCTGCCGAGCGTGTGCTGACAGTACCGTGGTGGGACCAGGCGCCCACCTTACACTGCATCTGTCCAGTACAGTCACACAGCATCCCGGCCTCATGGCTTGGACACTCAAACTGTTCTGTTCTAACGCACACAGGATTTCGCCAAAGGCACATTCAACTGCTTCACAAAATTTTGCACCTTCTGCAAGACCCTAATCTGGCTCCACAGTGTATTTGTGCTGATCCAGCCACCACTGAAGGGCTGGGCAGCGGGAGACCTGACAGCCAGGAGGCAGCAGAGGGAGGGCCTGAGTCAGACTAGGGTCCCACGCACGAGCCCGCGGTGAGCGTTCTCACCTGACGGCCACATCAGCTGCCTCATACACGCTCACAGCTGTGGCCTCTCAGACTTTTTTAAATACCTCCTTTAAGGAACTCTGATAAACAAAACTCAAAACTTTTAAGATAAACCATGGGGGATTTTTTATTACTTATTTGAATTCTTCACTTTAAAAAATTGTGAAAATGCATTGAAAGGTAGAAATCATAAGAGAAAAGTCATCACAAAGGTCTAAACCAGTACAGGAGACTGATGAAATAAAGTATGTTTCAGCCACACAACAGAGTACCAAGCAGCTAAAATTAGGAATGAGGAATATCTCTACATACTGATACGGAGAAGAAATAAATAAGCAAAAGAAGCAAGCAGAATATTTATAATATGGTACATTTTATGTGAGAAAATGAGAGACAGAAAATAGATGAAGATGATGATAGAAAGAGAGATACCTTGATAATTTACTTATAGTATCATAAGAAACAATGGAAGGATAAACCAAAAACCTTCTTTTAAATAGTTATCTATTGGGAGAAAAAACAAGATTATGGAAGCAAGACTTCTACAGATGTAACTTGCTAATCAGTTTTTATTTTGGACTTTAAATATTTTACATAATTTTTTAAAATTTAGTCCCAAAAGAAAAACAAACAGTCCCTTAAAATTTGAAAGTAAACCGAAATGAATGAGCTAACTGCGTAGAAAGCGTGTGTCAAGACTCAAAGTGGCTTTAAACACAGCATCTTGACTCCACATCCCAAGCAGGAGATATTCCACGGGTAATAAAAAAGGAAAGAAACCGTAAACTGCATTCAGGAGTCATGTTATTAGTATTGATATTTTTATTAAATGATTATGATGCCAGCATTAGACACCACAATTTTCAGCATAAAAATGATATAGTATAAAATCAAGGAAGTTAAGTAAAAAACCTGTAACCTTAAAAATGAATTGGAAATAGCAGTATGAACTCCTACTATATTTTTCTCTTAAACAATAGTCTCCTAGTTCTGTCCACTGAAAGGGCCTGGGAGCAATGACACCCAGTAACAATGAGACACTTAGAGGACCACTTACCAGGGAAGTTGGCTAAGTCCAGGTCTAGGGTCAAAATGTACAAGAGACTGGGTCATCTTCCCGTACCAGAAAGCAAGGGAGCCATCGAGATTGATGAGGTCACGTCAAAGTGACATACGACAGCACAGGGCCCCCCGCAGCGGCTGTTCAGTAATGGAAGGGTCAACGGATGGTTGCAAGTCTCATCTGGGAGAGCGGTGGGGACTACAGGGTGAGGGCAGAGAGGGAGGACCCCAGCGCCCACAGGGCCCGCCAAGGTGGGCACAGCGTGAGGGCGGGCTTCAAACCCAGCCTAGGGGGGAGAGCCTCGTGTGCAGAGAACAGAAGAGTGAGCACGCAAGAACCTGCGTGTCTCAGGGGCCCCACCATCCGCAGGCTCCGGAGCAGGAGTGAGTACCCAGCCGGCGTGGACGGTGCTTGGCCGCCAGACTCAGCCTGCACGAGGCACCAAGAGCAGGTGTGGTTCAGGAACTACAGGCCAAGCGCTCTGGAGAGGCGCTGCCAGGCCGGGAGCCGGGAGCCTGGGGCCGCGTCGGGCACACTGCCCGAGCCCCTGCCTCTGCAGACCCGTACCCCAATGATCCCCGGCTTCTGCAGCCCTCTCCACCACCCCCACCCGCGGGTCCAGCCCCTTGGGAATCTTCCCAGCAGCCGAACCCACCGCCTCCTGCCCGGGCCTGGGCTCAGCCCCTCCGCCAGGGACCTGCCAGACCCTGCGTCATTGCGTCACCTCGCAGGGGTCTTCCCACCCAAGACTGCCTAGGGGGCCCTCCCTCTCCCCGACGGCCTCTGGGTTCTAAGCGGAAGCTGGCTTTGCACAGAAGTACCCCCCGACCAGGCCGTTTCCGCCTTGCTGGGGGTCTCCCTGCGCCGCCCTGCAGTCCCTGCGAGCTGCTGCGCGGCGCCCGAAGCCGGGGTGGCCTCCCCCGCGGGTGGTCCTTCGCAGCGCCCAGCCCGCCATCGCCCGCTCGGCCCGTGGGGGGCGTTTGCTTGTTCTCGAATCACGTGGGTCCCCCGCGAGCGCCCTGGTTGGCGCCTGGGACCCGGTGGCCCTGCGCCCAGGGGTGTGCGCGGGCGGAGACGCAGGGGCTCGGCCGGAGCTTCCTGAAGAGCTCGGCGGCTTCCCCCCGCGTGGGCGCGGCTTTCGGTGGGCGCCCTGGGACAGCGTCCTCGCTGACGTTCGGGGCCGTGAGACTTTCTGCCTCTGAGCGGCTGCTGACTGTGGCATCCCTGTGGTCTTACTGTTCATCTCCCCGGAGACAGTGAAGTTGAATAGTTCTCACGTGTTGATAGGATATTAGACATCCTCTTGGGAACTGTCTGTTCACCTTGATACCGAACCTGAACTGAGTTCGCTCACCCCTTGTGCAGGAAGTCAATCTCTGACACCCGGGTGTGATGGAAGAAAGGAATTTTATTTTTGCACGGCGCTGAGCAAGGAAAGAGGGCAGCTAACGCTGAAATCCCAAACTCCCCGAAAAGCTAAAAGGAAGGGTTTTTATTTGGGGTTTTAAGTAGGGGAGGGGGAGCATATGGCTTTGCTGGTGCGAGCTTTCTCACCAGCCTGTCTGCGGCCTTGAGACACTTGCAGAGAGGAGGGAGCCCTTGACCTTGCTGGTCAGCAGCTTCCTCACCAGCCTGTATCTCTTTGCAGGGAGGAGATGATCCAGGTGCTTGTCCTTGACGGTGTCTGTCTCCATGGAGGATAGTGGATTCTGGAGCCAGGAAGCCAGAGAGTAAGCTGGAAATAAGTGTTTGGGTTTTAACCCCATATATGCTGGGTTTAATGTGGGGAAACTGATATCAGGGTCGATATCAACCTTTTTGCCCATTTTTCCTGATTTATTTGAATTGATTCTTATGTCGTCTTGGTAATCAATGTGTTGTAAATATTTTACTCATTTCTGTTGTTTTTTCATTAGTGGAATTTTTTATTTCTTGATTTTCGTGTTATCTATTTCAGTGCTTTCAAACTACCTGTGGTTATGGATCAGTTTTTTGTGGGTTTGCCTTTCTTTTCTGTCAGTGGCAAACCAATATGTTCTAAAATAAATTGGATTATTAATAAAAATTTTTAAGTGACATACACAATCTAAGCCCCATTTTTTAGTTACTAGATTTAACAGATATAAAGTATACTGTCAGATTTACATAAACGTTTCTAAAAGCTGGCTTCCAGTGTGTCCACTCGCCCAGTCACCAACTGGAGCCGGAGTTTACAGATGCCTCACTCTGAGGTTTTCCTCCTACCACTTGAAAGCAGCTGAGTTTTTCTTGTTTTTCTCCTCTAGTCTCAAGGCTTTTTAAGAAATGTTTCAGTATCGCAAGGTCATGAAGATATTCTCTTTTATTTTCTACTATCTTTATAGTTTTACCTCCCATGTTTAGATCTTTACTACATCTAGAATAGATTGTGTATTGTGCAAGGTAGGGATTTCATTTCCATTTTTTTCTCATGGATTTCCACTTGTCATTTATTGAGAAGCTTGTGATTCACGTTGTCGTATCGAAAGTCCATTAATGTGTGGGTCTGTATCTACAGCCTACATTTTGGTCCGTGGTCTATCTGTCTATCATGCATCATGACATGCTGCCTTATTAACACGACTTTGGAACAGGTCTTGGAATGTGGTGGCTGAAGTCCTCCTCCCTTGTTCTTTTTAAGCATATTTGTTTGGTTTGCATCTCCATACAAATTTTTGAATGAATTTGATAAGTTCTACCGAGAAGCTTGTTGTAATTTTAATTAGAATTGCATTAAATCTATAAATGTATTTGGAGAAAATGACACATTTAACACTACTAGGTCTTCCAATCCATGAACACGGTTTATCTCTCCATTCATTTAGGTCTTTTGAATCTTTCCACATTAAAAAAAAAGAAAAAAAGACACAGGAGTCAATTTGAAGGGGCTTGCACTGGCTTAAGATGGGACCATTTGAGCACCAAACAGTGAAGTGAAACATGACAAATTATAAAAGTCCATGAGTTCATAGAAACACTCTTAAAAACTCTTTGGTCACCATTAGAATTTGTTAGGACGTCAACTCATTACTCTGAAAATTTACAAATTGATAAATAATGGGACAAATCAAGCATTCATTCTGTCTATCTCTTACAAACTATATTGCAGAGGAACCAAAGAATCCATGAGGTGAAATTCCGATGAACTTTCTAACAGGAGAATCCAGTTGACCCCACCTGAGCTTACTGACCTATCCTGTCACAACTCAAAGTAGAAGAGAGACAATGAGCCTCCCCACTGGGCCACGATGAAAAGCACAGCACCATCTACAAAGGGTTCTTGCCTTTAAAAGTAAACCTGAATCCAATCAAGTCTCTGAATCCAACCACTAGCTTTTAAGAAATACAGAAGACAAAGGAAGAAGTTAAAGAAGGCCTCTGGGCAGCAATCAGCCACATCTAGGATACAGGACATCCTAGAGATGCAGTGAACAAACTAGTTTCTCCAAGAAATCAATGGCATTTTTAATAAGAATAAAGAATAAAGCAAAAAGAACCAAGGATATGTACGATATACCCAAACGCAATGTGTGGGTCTTGTTTGGATCCTGATTCAGACAAATGAACTCTAAAAGACCTTGTTAAGAATTTGATCAGGCTAAGGGACTATGGGATTTGATAACTCGTGTATTAAAGAATGGCCCTGCAAATGTTACTCTATCATAAAAATGTAACCACTCTAATTGAATTTAGAAGCAATATTAAAATTATTCTTTTGGTGATGCTTCCTAGATGTATTAAATAAAATATTTAAAGTAGCAATTGATTAAACTGCAAAAAATAAAGAATTTGATCGTGAACTGTATATTAGATGATATTTATTAAGGAACAGTGGTTTAATTTTGATCGGTGTGATAATGCATGGTGTTAGTGTTTTTAAAATGCCCTTGTTAACTAGAGATGCATAATGTAGTATTTATAGGCAAAATTACATACTGTCTGATTTGTTTTAAAGGACTCCAGTTTTTAAAAAAATAATATGAGAGAAGGGATAGCTCAAATAGAGATGGCAAAACCTTGATAATTATTGGTTGGGGGATGGGTACATAAGAATTCTTCATTATATTATCCTCTTATGTGTATGCTTAAAATTTCCCAATTAAATGTCTCTTATTGTTTTGAAGTTAAAAACAAATAAATCCAAAAGTCAGATAAGGAGCTAGGACAAATATTTGCAATTTATATAATAGTCAAAAGGTTAATATATGGTCTAGATAAGCTGTTCTTACAAAATGTTAAAAGTGAGCACTCTAATAAAAAAATGAGTTAAAGACTTGAAAAGGCAATTTACTATATTACAAATGGCTAATAAGCTTACAAAAATTAGAGAAAGTCACTAATTATTAAAGGAATCAAATTAAAAGAGTGATGAAATATTATCTTGAAATATTTTTTACGTCATTGGAATGTGATGAGAAGTAGACACATCTGTACCACTGCTGGCCGGATTATAAATTGTAAAAACTTTCTGGCAGATAATTTGACAACATGTATCAAAGACCCTTAAAAACGTGTGCCTGGGCTCCTTGGAGAAGTTGCTGTTTCTAGGACTGGGGCAGGAGATACTCAAGACGAGACTGGAGTACTTGTAGCGCCAGACAGTGAAGGGGTGTCAGACAAAAATTCCTCACAATGATGGGGTTACGTCAAAGGGACCCAGGAGTCAAGTGAAAGAGCTCTCAGTGACCAAAGTTGCAACAATTTGAGCCAGCAAATAACGCAGCATTGGATGATAACCCAGCCTGTGAAATCAATAGCCATGAGTCCCTTCTGATAGAGACGAACAACTGAATGAATAAATAATAACATAAATGGGGGAGAACAGACAAATCTCGTGTACATTCCAAATAATTTGTGTAACGCTTCTCCCTCAAAGAGGAGGCGCCTAACTCCCCGTCCCTTAGGTATGGGTTGTGCAAAGTGACTTCATTCCGAAGACCATGAAAAGAAGGGGAAAAGAGTAACTTTACAGTGGAGAAACCTAACAAACCTCAGCCAGGTGACGCGGAGGTCAACATCAACTGTGACAAGTCATACTGAGAGTGTGCACCCCTGCTATGAGGTCATGAAAAGGGCATGTCACCTCTGTGGTCTTCAACCCAAAACACATAACCCCAGTCTAATCATGAGAAAAAACATCAGACAAATCCCAACTGAGGGGCATTCTACAAAATAGCTGACCCCTCAAAACTCAGAAACAGGGAGGTCTGAGAAACCATGCCCGCCAAGAGGAGCCTGGGGAGACACAATGACTAACGTCCCGTGGGATCCAGCGGAGATCTGAATAAAGCATGGGCTTCAGTTAAACATCCTGTTTCAGTGTGGGTTTGTTAATTGTAACAAACGTATCACACTAATGTAGGAGGTTAATAATAGAGGAAATTGGGTGCGGTGGATGCCAATGCTCTGTACTATCTTCACAACTTTTCTGTAAATCCCTGTGTTCTAAAATTAAAAGTTTATTTTTAAAAATGAATGCCCTTTGACCCAGAAATTCCATTTTGGGAAGTGTATTCTGAGGAAATCGATAAGGATGTAAACAGAGAAGAAGTCATAGACGTGAAGGTTGTAACAGTAGAACCTGGAAATAGGGTGAGAGCCCAACGACAGGAGAGGTCGGTGAGCGACAGTCGGTCCACACAGCGTACGGACAGTCACCAGCCGGCGGAAGGCTGCTCCAGATACGCATGGAGCTGAGGTCTCCATACTTAATTGTAATTACAAAATAATAGATAGTGCTATTATATTTGAAAGTATAGTAAAATATAGGTAAATAGAAAGACCTCAAAGTACATACACAAAGAATTAACTGAGGCTGTGTTGCTTTGGGGCGTTTTCTGATTTTTCTTTAATGAGCAGGCTGAAATTCCCAGGAAGCAGCTGGTCTGGCCAAACTAGTAGGTTCGCAGCTCACGTCCACTCTCACCAGTCAGTGCCGGAGCTTGTCACCATCTGTGCTGTTTTGGCTGTTAAAAACTTTTGAAATCACTTCTGTAATAGAATAATAATATATTCATTTGTTAAGCCTTATAGTATGCAATTCTGTGCAAACTCTTCTCACACATTCGAGATAAAATTTTATTTGTGAATGTTCTGTGCAAGTTTCCAAAAAAGCCAGGGGAATAGAGGGACCCCTGTGCAACCCTGGAGGAAGCCAGCCAGCCCAGTCCTGGGTGATGTTGCCCTCCCCTCTCACCCCCTCCTCGGCCCCACCCTCCCCGGCACTTTCAGTCTCTCTCCTGGAGGAAAGTAGTCAACTCAGAGGGGCAGGGCCTAAGCCAAGCGTGGACAACGCCCTGAGCCACAGCTCCTTCCCGCCTGAAAAACTCGTTAAGCACCTGGTGACCCCGAGTCACTGGGCTTGGCCAGCAGTTGCTGTTACCTGGCCTTCCCTCTGTGACAGGCGTGCTTCCTGCATCCTTCAGTCAGGAACACCTTCGGCTGTCCTTAGTCGGGCGACCTGGCAAGCAACCTGGTGGAGACAGGAATTAACTTGTGGAGGGCTAATGGTGATGAAGGTATTTCTGTCCGTAGCGATGGAAATGAGTTTTATCCAACGGAGAATAGAAATCTCTGTAATCAATTATTTGAACTGGCTCTCTTGTTAATTCGTAGTTAGATAAAATCTTTGACGTGTGTTCATTTTATATTTGTATGAGAGTCATGACTTTACTTCAGTGAAAATTATCCGTAAGCAGCTTCCGATGTCCCCCGGGACACCCGGGGCTTCGCTGGTCAGAGCCCGTACTGAGCGCTGGAGACGGGCACTTCCCGGCTGAGCTCGGCCGGCCGTTGCCTCCCGCTCCCTGAGTGAGCCCCAGCCAGCAATGGGACTCCAACTTCACTCGCTGTGTCTCTAGTTCTAGTTTTCTAATCGTTACTGAACTTGTGTTTGTGACTTTATTTCTGGCTCATGCGTGACTGATAAGTTATTCTCCATTCTTGGCAACAGGGGTTGGCAAGTTGGTTTTGTGGTCTGGCCATTTGGTGATCTCTATTACGGAAGGGATGATAGGGATCTAGTCCCTCTTGGGTGAGAGACAACAGAAAATCCAGCTTGTTAGTCTTTTTATGTTTGTCTGTTTTGAGCTCAAGAATTTAATGCCCCCCTGGGAAGAAAAACAGCTCTTTGGGATCTGGGATTAGTAAATTTTGTGTTTTCTTTTGGCCTGTGGCTGAAGTGTGGACCTGAAGCGAAAATCTCTCTGTGCGTCTGTGTGTCCATGTGTCTGTGAGTTTATGGCTGAGAAAGGCCTTGACATCTTGGTGAGTGAGTGTAAAATATGCTAGATTAATATGGCTCTTAAATTAAGGGAGCTCAGTTATGATTAGTTTAGAGAAAAAAATTAAGCATTTATATAAATCTAATATTCCTAACTCATAATACTTTCAATGTGTTAGGCTTTAGGGAAATATCCTTCATAAAGAAACTGCTAGCTTAGAAACTTTTTATAAATTCAAATTCATATAAATAAGGTAAATCAAATTAGCTTACTATTTTTGATTTTAAAAAAACAGGTAGGTTTTTTATCATCGTTAAGCATAATGCAAAGAAACATTTTTTGTTTGATTTCTCCTGAAGAGAATAGTTAATCTGAGCTTCCTAAATAGTTCACTGATCAAAAAGCTAACATTACTCTTAGAGGTTACAAACTGTAAATTGATGTTACTCTAAATTGAAGCATTATTCACACAAACTTATCATATGTTTCGTGGTGTATCAGATTAAGTAAATTTCCAAGATCTTCAGATAACTTAAAACCTTAAACTGGTATTGAACAGAGCTAACTAGTGATAATCATTGGCTGCTTACTTAGGTAATTTCTAAGTAAGATATAAAACTAAAACATGATTACTGAGCATGACTTTATATACTTTTGCTTCCTATTTTTCTATGTTACAGAAAGACTGTATATTTGGGTCATGTTAGGACACGTATTGGTGTTTCCACTCTAAGAAGGAGCAGAGGGATGCGTGTGGATGTCTGAGCCCCCACCCCCCATCCCCTCCAACCCCCCACCCCGCTTGAGTCTGCTGGGCGGCCGGCAGGCTTGCCTGGGATCATTCTCAACCTTCCACCCATCTGCCCAGTTTTTTCTGTGACATAGAAGTTGGTTACTTTGGGTAAAAGTTATCATTAATATGGGTGGTTAATGTTATGCACGAAGCAGCAACAAAGAAATACAAGTGTGTATGTGCTTCGGTTTTGTGAGGCCGTAAAGAGCAGTTTTGTTCCCGAAGGTGAAAGGTCACCCTGAAGGACAAAACTGAAAAGTGAATTTCGTTTGCCTTGGCTTGTAATACCTGAGTCTGAAAGGAAACCATGAAATACGTTAACGTTTTGGCCCAGTTCACTCCCCGTTGATGGACTTGCCGCCTCAGTTTACTGATTAGAGCCTTGGGCTCCAGCGTGAGAGGTGGTTCCTCACCCAGGGTTCAGTCTGCCTGGACAGCAGAGCCTGTGTCTTACCATAAAAATTGCTGTGCTTTATGTTGACTTTATGTCCTTGATTATTGAAAAACAAAACACACACAAAACCTCACTCGTGAAAGAGATGCGCTTCCTCAAAATCATATCACCTCGCTGTTCGCTTTACAACCTTTCGTTATTACTAGACGGGTGAGCAAGACTTGTTTCTCGGCGGCCGGGCCACACTCCTGATCAAGGCCCTGATCTGCTGAGGCCAATCTCCGGATTTGCCCCCTCCCGAGGTCAGATCCTAAATATAGAAAGGGTGAAGTAAAACCTTCAGATGTCTTCACCTAGAACATTCTTTGAAACTTCCCAGAGGCCCTGGAAGCTCACAGTGGTTTGCTCTTCCACCTTATGAAACAAGGGGGACACTAGGAGTAACGACGTTTGTTTAAAGGGTCCCCAGAGCTGCCTGGGAAGAGGTGTCACACCAAAGAGACCCTCAGCTGCCCAGGGTTATTTTGTGTTGGTAAACGTCCTCGATATAAATACTCCAGAAGCTGCCGGCTTTATGGGAAGGCCTGAGGCCGGTCAGCGTCCTCACCGTCCACGGCATCTTTTACCCTCAGGGAGACACTGACCAAGCTGTGGTGTAGTTATTTCCCAACAGAGACGCCTGCCCGCTCCAGCTTTGTATCACTGTTGCTGCAATAAATGAACCACAGTGTTGTCGTCTGCAAGTCACTTAGATGACTCTTCTGTTTCTCTGGAAGCTCCGCTCTCAGCTACAGGCCAGACCCTGGGTCCTGCATAGAAGGGCAGCCTGAGGACACTGACACTCCAGTGACTCCCCTCCTGGGGACAGACTGCTGAGCTGAGCTCGCCTGGACTGCTGTCCGCCCACGCCCGCGGCTGGATCAGGATTTCTAGGACTCAGATCAGAGCAGGAGCTTCTTGAAAGCGGGCAGTGAATGAGAATGGATTGCTCAGGACTGAATGAGGCCATTTTATTGTTGTTATTTCTTGGAATATTGTTGATGTTGCTTTAGCCTTCTTTCGTTTATAGATCTGTGAGGAAACCATTTCTCTTCCTTCTTAGCCTACAATTTAATTGGTTTTGCTTTTGTAAATTGAAAGGAAACAATTACATTTCAGAAATGACTAAAGTCCCTGGGTACCCCATCCCCATGTCCCTCCCTCCTCAGAGGTAGCTATTAATCTGAATTTTATATGTATTATTCCCATGCATTTCTAAACACTTTGTTATATGTAGACATCCATTAGTGATAGATGGCATAGTTTTGCAAGCTTTTAATCTTCATAAAATTGGAATCTATGGCGGCTCTCCTCTGAGCGCCCTTGTCCGGGGGGAGGGTGGTGGATGTCGTTTCTGAGGTTTGTCCGTATTGATGTGTGTAGCTCTTGCACGTTCATTTTCCCCTCTGCGTGTTCACCGGGTGACCACACTACCCATTTCCTGTCGGTGGACGCTTGCACTGTTACCATTGCTCGTTTGTATGAGCAGAGCTGCACTAAACATTTTGTACAGGTCTCATGACCTACTTATCAAGTAGAAGAACCTCACATGGAAACGGCACTGTTTTTAGCTGCTAAACAGTTCACAGCTGGCATAAAAAGAAACATTTTTATCTGATTCTCATTGACCCCCCCCCCCGCCGCCAGAATTCAGAAACTTGCTTAGTTCCCTCAACCTTTCACGGAAATGTAGTTATTGTTATAGGTTCAATGAGAAACTGCCCTCCTTTTCGCTGGGCTGTAATTGGACTGTGCATTTGGGATGCGATACTCGGGGATGATACTCAGTTAATCTGGTATGATGAGCCACTGTATCTGGAGAATCAATGCCACGAGGCCCTCCCCGGAAGGCGGGCCGGTCCCAGCCCCACAGGTGGGAGGAAAGGGAGCTTCCGCAGGCCAGGAGCATTCCCCAGCCTGCGGGACTCGGAGAAGAGAGGAAGCCAGCCAGTCATCTGATGGTGACAGCTCCTTGGGCTCTGCTTCCTAGCTAATAATAGAGGCTTTTAAAAATCCGGTCTGACGCTCATGAAAACATCCAGACAGAAGCTCATTCCAGGCCCTGGCAGTTGCTCAATGCTGCACAGCTCTCTAGATTTGAAAGCAAACTCAAGGAGGTCTGCAAATTAATGAGTATTCTTACTGCACCCATGTAAATAATCAGGCCAAACCTAATGAGACTTTTTGTTTTGTGATAAAGAATAATTTTTGGAGATTATTATGATCCTGGGAGAGCAAGAAGAATGTTTTAAAAAATTGTGAGAAACTTTAAATGGGGGAAAAAATTACTGTGTCCCTTCCGTGGCATTCCGGCCATCAGCTAGTGGAACCCGGGGACTGTGGGACTCGGTGGGGCGCCTGCCTTTGACTGTCGGGCTGGGCTGTCTCGCCGTTCTGTGCAGACCGAGGTAGCTGGCGCAGGGTGGCGGGACTGCGTGTGAGTCCTGCTCAAGGCAGGCCGTGAATCCTGTCCAGGAGCGACTAGAAACTCCAAACCTCCGGTTCTCGTTTAAACTGCCTGAATGAAGCATCTTACTGGTTCCTCATTAATTCGTTACATAAAATGTGTTGCTTTTCTATTTGTATGAGACATATGTATATACATATGTATGATTTTACCATTTTAAAAATATTCTGTAATTCTTCTTAATTCACCCAACAACCCTGTCACTTGTGTTGTCACCATTTGACAGGAAAACAAAGTGAGGCCCAAGCAGCCTGGCACCATAAAGGCTGGATGCGCATCGCCAGAGCCCAGCTCTTAACCACCCCAACGCCTGCTTCCAGGGCCTGAAGACACCCCAGACGTGTGCCTGAGCCATCGCCCTGTGCCCTCGAACCTTCTGAAGTCACCGTTTCCTCTGCTCCTGAGTGAAATGGCTCAGGGTCCCTTCCTGCGAAGTTTGAAAATCTCAGCTCGGCCCCACCATCTCCCAGGACCTTTGCCGGCAGAGGCTGGGGGAGAGGGCGTTTTCCGTGCGCTCTCTCTGTCCTCCTGTCCCAGGAAATCCCTCTGCCCTACAGCCACTCTCCGCTCCGCCCTGGGTCCGCTCCTACGGTGCCCCTTCTCCCTGATTTCCTCAAAGCCACACTGACACACTGAAGGGTCAGAATTAACGGTGGTGGGATTTTCAGCCCAGCACAGAATTAGAAACGAACCCGGAACTAGTCCTGGGCGTCCTCCAGACTCCTCGGGTGTTTGCTGCCTGGTGTCCTCGCCGGCGGTCCTCCACCAGGCCTGGCTCACTGCTTCCTCAGGCCCGTCTCCCTCCAGCCTCTTCTCCTTCTCTCCACCCTTCCCCTTTGGGGGTCCTCACAGCCACCACCCTCCTCCCCCACGGCAGAGGCACAATTCCCTTATCATGCGGAACAACCCCTCTCTTTGGCTTCTCCCCTCCAGGCCACGTGAGGGAGGAGGAAGAGGCAGCCTTCAGAACCAAACATGATTTTGAGGTATTTTGTTCCCCACAAATGACCATTGGACTCGGAGGAATGCTTGCTTCCGTTCCGACTTCAAACTGTAGGCAACTTTTCAAATAGAAGTCGTTTTCTTCCTATTACACAAAAATCAAATTCCCCACAGAAGATGATAATCTGTCAGCGTGGAAGGCATCCAAACCACGCTGCCACCACCTGCAGATGCTGCCCAGAGGGGAAGTTCTGGAATGTGCTGAGCAACTCTAGCCTCTTGTTAGATTAAAGACACACACACGACACACGATTCTAAAAGATGAATCTTCACTCGGATGAACGCTGGCGGAAAAACTATGGACACACATCCTGCAAGGTAACCCCTGCCTCGGGATCTCAAAACCTTCGTGTGAACAAAAGAAAGATTGGCAGGTTGCCGGACAACAGGGGGCATCAAACTGGCACACCAACAGTCGGGCAGAGACCGTCTGCATGAGCCTGAGTCCACAGGGGCACCTCGGGCTCTGCCCACGGTCAGCTCTGCGCAGCTCAGCAATTTGATTACAACCGATCGCATCATCGGCCTCCTCACTCAAATGTGCGGAGGCTGGGTTCCAGCCTCTAGGTGGCTGCTGGAGGTCCTGCAGAGGGCTCTGAGCAGAGTCAGGACGTATTCTGCTGTCCCTTCACCTGTCCACCACCCTGGGTACCATGTCAGAACACGGGCTGACACGGAATGAGACAGCCGTCGGCCGTGGCAGACTCGGAGCATACAGAGCTGACCAGGCTCAGCCGTTGGGTCAGATCTGACCAGGTGAAATGTGGCCAGGAGAAACGCCAGTCTGCCCTTGAGTTTTTAAAAACCACAGTCCAAAAGAGACAAAACCAGAAACAGGTTACTGGGGCGGGGTGATGGGATTATGACTCATTTATTCCAGTTTTTAGTAAGCAATGCCCTGTGGCTTCTGCAACAAGCAGCAGTGGCCACGTGGCAGGGACCGAGCAGAGTATGATCGAGCACGGCACTCTCTGAGCACCGGAGCCTAGGCCTCAACCAGGAGCCAGGGGACATGGAGGGCTCACTCAGGGGGATCAGAGGAGCGGGCCAGCTCCATTCCCTACGAGCCGTGCCACAAGTGCCATGACAGACTGATGGACGGATGAGGGTGAGCTCAGAGGAGGCGGCAGGAGAGTGAAAGGCGCATCTGTGAGGGGCACTCAGCCTCAGCCTGGCAGAGAAGGTGGGACGGCGGGCAGAGGCCACACCCTCAGCCGTGCTACTGGGACAGTAAATCCAAGGCAGGGAGTGGAGGAAGACGGGGCAGAGAGATGGTCGGCGTCTGGGTAAGGGACTTGGTCTTGTGTGGGAAATGGAGCCTACTGGAGGGTTTAAAGATGGGAAGGATGTGGTCAGAAATGAGTTTCTGAAAACTGGTCCTGGCAGCCATGGTGCCCTCCAGGGATGGACAGAGGGAGACGCCACAGAGGCAGTGAGACCCAGCAGGACACTAGCGCCATTCCTGCAGGAGGAGGTGGCAAGGCCTGAACATGGAGGGGGATGGGGAGAAACAATTTAGAACTCTTTAAGAGGCCAGAGGACTAGATGACAGACAGAGGAGCATGGAGCACTCAGGAACGCTTCAAGTAACAGAAACCCCCACAAATGTGATGGGGTGATTTCACACACAAAAAAAGATCAGGAGACAGCAGTCAGGTTGAAATGAACGTGGCTCTGTAATGCCATCCCTCCACCTTTCCCCTGCACCATCCTCAGTGAGTGGCTCTTTGTCCTTAAGCATGTGGCCTCGGGGTCACAAGATGGCTGCTGCACCTCCAGCCCTCATTCCAAGGCAGGGAAGAAGGCAAGGGCCTTTCTCTTAAGAAGGCTTTGACTTTTCATTTGGGAAGGGATGCAGCACCCATAGCTGCAAGGAAGGCTGAGCGACTTCAGTGGAGTTCATTTGTACCCAGAACAAAATCAGAATTCAGTTAGGGAGGAGGAGCAGATGAGTATTGGCTGGGCACTTAGCAGCATCTAGGGGGCGCACCCGGTTTGACAAGCCAGTTTGGAGGCACATAAAGTTTGAGGTGCCCATGGGCATCTGGGGAAGCTGGGCAGTTAGATGAAGTTAGCTTCAGGGGCACCTGAAGCGTGGGTGAGGACGGTCACCTGAAGCCATAGACTCAGGATCACCAGCTCATAATGAAAGATGACCTTCCGGAAGTTTCTGAGTCCATTCCACGAGTCTGCTCTAGAAACTGCACGTCCTCTAGACCTACCAAAACAAGAACGGGGCATGGTGTCAGGCTTCCAGAAGAGAGAAATCCCATTGCCTCAGCTCTGGGACGGTTTCTGTGGGTGAACCTTGGCCCCCGTGAGCTGATGCGCTCCTCGGGGGACAGCTGTGCCTCCCTCCTGGTCCCCTGGCAGTGCACACAGGGCAGGACTAAACACACGAGGTCGACAGACCGAGCGGCAGGACCTCTGCTCACGCTGGGTTCCAGGCCCTTCCTTTAGCAAGGCTCGCCGTCCATCTTTGCCACTGTGGTTGACATAGCTGCTGGCATGGAGATGCGCCCCTTGTGCCTTCTCCCACCAGCACTCAGGACCCTCATCTGTGATCAGGGCTGTCAGGAAGGTGGCCTCCTTGCTCATTGTTAATCATCCATTTAGTTAGACCGACAAGGGCCTTCCCTCAGTGACTGGCCCTTCTGCACAACCAGAGCCAGGCCGGGACTGTCCCTGGCAGCAGCCTGCCCACGTCCTCCCACGGGCCCAGAGTGGCCCCTCCTGGGGAGCCCAGGGACCCAAGAGCAGGCCAGGCAAGGCTGTCTAGACCATCCCTCCCCTTCTCTCTGCCTCCCTGACCGAAGGCAGCTTCTGAAGAAGGGGGATCTTCTCAAACGAAGGCGTTTTGCAGCTCCTCAGCCGTCACGCCTGCAAAACCCCTTCCTCCTCCTTTTGCTGTTGGTGGTCAGGCCACCCCACCCCCGCCTCCCTGGCCCCTCCTCCTTCCTCAGCCACAAGCTCTCCACAGGTGCCCTCATGTCCCCTGGCCCCAGTCTCCACCTCGATGCCCCTTGGCCCCTACCTCTCTCTCCCAAGCCCCAGGCTCCCCAGCGAGAGCTTGAATCCCACAGGCCTCTCCAACTCAGCCGGCCTCGCACCCAGACCTGCCCACTGCTCCCCTTGCATCTCTCTGCCTGAGACAGGCGTCCCCTGCACCAGCTCCTGGGGACCCGGTGAACTCCGAAGGCTCCACGGAGACTCCTCCTCCCACGGGGACCTGGGTGGAAGCTCCTGTTCGTCTCCAGAACCTTGAACACAACACCATGACAGCCCCTGCTGGGGTCCTGACAGTTCTTGTCTGCTTTCCCCCAAACTGTGAGCACATCAGGGGCAGGAACCACTTTTTTTTCCCTTCTTCCCCCCAAAGTCCCCCAGCACATAGTTGTATACTCTACTTATAGGTACTTCTGCTTGTGCTATGTGGGACGCCGCCTCAGCATGGCCTGATGAGCGGTGCCATGTCCGCGCCCAGGATCCAAACCGGCGAAACCCTGGGCCACAGAAGCAGAGTGTGCGTTCTTAACCACTCGACCACGGGGCGGCCCCAGGAACCACATTCTAAGCTTCTCTGTAATCTCAGTGCCTATGTGGGAAATGGTGAGTGAGGGAAGGAATGAATGAGCAAGTGAATGAATGTTCAGGACACTGGATCCACAGAGATGCAGGTGCATCCCCAGCCACACGAGCCTCCAGCTGGCTAAGGAAGCTCACACTGCTACACCGCCTCCAGCGCTGGGGCGGGTTCTGGGCACGGAGGCGCGGGGCGGGTCAGAGCATCAGATGAATGCTCCTCCTGGAACACGGAGCAGCAATCCACACGGGTCTCCTTCCCCCGTCACGCACTGACCCACCTGAGGTGGACTCTCTGGATGGAGTGAGGAAAGTAAGGGTCTCCCAAGTGTCACACACTCACTCTCACGACACACTCACAACACACACACACCCCTACTTGTAGTCTCCATCCAGTCATGTTCCCTGGTCTCATGGCTCTTTCTGGAAGCCATGGTGGAGTGCACGTTCTGGAGTGCACTGGTCTGAGCTCCTAGAATCCATCCCCCCTTAACCTTGGAAGCCATACTCCAATTTTTGGTTAGGTGTCCACCCTCCCTCACCCAGGCTGGCCCCACCTCCAGCTCTAGGCCTTGTAAGTGCAGGGCCAATCCAGAGGTCAGCCCAGCTCAGGCTTCAGGCCAGCTGCTAACCCACCTGGGCAGGGGCTGCACCCGCCTCCCTACCCCAGAAGCTGTCTCTGCAGGGCCAGCTCCCTCCCACCTGCTACAAGGAGCTCCCTGCAGGCCCCACCACTATGAGACAGAGCAGGGCTTGTCCTGACAAATCACCCAGCCGCAAGAGGAAGGACCCCCTTGAGGATGAGGGGGTAAAGCTCAAAGCCACCATCTGATACACCTTTGAATCTCATATTGTGATGACCCTAAGGCAAATGCTTTCTCCTGCAGAATGTGTCTAAATTTTTCATTCTGAAATAAAAGTGAAGACACTGCTGTTGGCACCGTGGCTGCATCCCCCACATATCCAGCCCAGGGTTTCGCCAGTTCGGATCCTAGGCGCAGACATGGCACTGCTCATCAGGCCATGCTGAGGCGGCGTCCCACATAGCACAAGCAGAAGTACCTCTAAGTAGAGGATACAACTATGTACTGGGTTCAGAAGCAAAGTGGAGCTAGCCAGGTCTGGGCTTCAAGCCTGGCTCCACCAGCAATTAATTAGCTGACGTCCTTGGACAAGAGAATTAACCTGTCAGTGTGGAAGGAAGGAATGAAAAGCTAAAGCCTTCAAAGCAGGAGTAACCAGAAATGAGCTCCCATGCCCCACTTTGCTCATAGAAATTATGGTTGACACAGCCAATACTGTGGAGAGGGGAGGGCCACAGCAGTGACGATCTTGCCACCTGAAACAAAGTCCAAGGGTTTTACCCCAAAATAAAGCTAAGCTTCTGACATGCATCCCCTTCACCTGATTTATGTCGAGAAATCCCTTCCACGTGGAATTCCAGCTGGTCCCCAGGACCATGAGCACAACTCCAGCGGCTTCTGGGAGAGCCCCAGGCCACTGCTACGTGTGCCACACGCTGCTCAGAGCAGCCCACGTCGCTGAGGAGCTGAAGAACCGGGGCTGTGCACCGTGGGGGCCTTGACCTTGGAAAGGACACAGGCAGCGAGAAGGAGGAGAAGCTGGGTGGGCGGAGCTTGCCCTTCATGGCCCAGCAGGCTCAGGGCTCCCCTAGGAGCCTGGGGCCAACCGCCCAGGTTCAGAAACCAGTCCCACACTCACCAGCAAGCCACCAAACCTCCTTGGGCCTCAGTGTCTTCCTCTGTGGAGTGGCGTCCTAGCACCTGAGCCCGGCGCCCTCCTATGTATTAAATCATGTCACTTTGGGTGGCACCCAGTGGACACAGAGCTGGCTCTTCAAGCCGGTCTTCCCTTTCCATCATCCGGCCCCATTACCTGCATCCTAACCAACCACCAGTAGAAACACCAGAGGACAGGGCCTGAAGCCAGTGGTCAGGTCTGGGCCCAGGCGAACCTAAGAGGTGGTGGTGGTCATGCAGCTGGCAGAGGGACTGCCAAGAATCGAGCCTCTTGCCCAGCAGCACCTGCCTGGGGCGAGGACCTGGGGGCGGACTGGCTCGGAAGAAAAGCCACAGATAATCACAGTTCCATCGCACCGGAGACAGAAACGGAGGGAGAAAAAATAAATGCACACGTTTTCTGAGCGTTGACAGCTTTTGTTTCATTTTGGTTTGAACACTAAGATTTATTTCAAACGGCACACAGACGGGCTGCGGAGCGGGGTGTCTGGGCCCCGAGGTCTCTGGAGAGACGGGACCCCACCCGCAGCAGCTGCCGGGGGGGAAAAGAGGACCCTCGCCAGGCAGCACGCGGAGCCCCGGGCGGCGCGCATGCGCGGCGAGCCCGGCGGGCGGGGCGGGCGCCGGGAACTCAACTAGGGGACACAGCAGCTTCAGGAACACTGGTGACGCCACCGGACTTGCCGAAACCAGGCTCTTTGGAAAACAACCTAACCCTCGGGAGCACACCTCTTGGCTTAGGTCTCTCCTCTGGATTTCCCTTTGCTTTTCAAAAGTTTAAAAACAAAAACGGAAAAAACCACACATTTTTCGGGAAAAGTGTTCTTCACACGCCCAGAGGGCTGCAGCGGCCGCCGCCCTCACTGGACTCGCTCGGTGAAGTTCTCGGGGAAGACGCCCCGGCACTGCTCCAGCTCCTTGTGCTGGTTCCAGTCGCTCTCCTTCACGCCCATGAGCCAGCCTTCATCCTGCGGGGAAGGTCATCCAGGTCGCACAGGGATGGGGGAAGAGGCACGTGGACTCTACAGGTGTTCATCTCGCTTGGGACACCCTGGGAGAATGTCCTCTCCATCTGCCGGTTCATTCCCTCTAACCTGTCAGCCCGCCTTGAAGCATGCCTCGAAGCACGCCTCCTCCAGGCAGCCCTCCCTGCCACTCCCGCGGGACCCAAATGACCGACTCCAGGAACCATGCCGCCCCTCAGCGGGCAACTACGGCTGTCACTGGGGAAATCTCGCCCCTCTAGGAAGGTAGTCTGACTGCTGCACTGGGCTCATGTGTCTCAGCAGCTCCCTCAGTCCCAGGCCAAGGAGCCTCCCACCGTCCGGTGCCTACAGAGGACACGTGCCCGAGGAGCACATCAGCTGTCCTTCCAGTCTTCGACACACTATTCCAGGACATTCTGCTGAGCACTGACCAGTGAAAGGCTTCTAGAGTGGCCTGAAGCCGCCCCACCCTGCCCTCCAACCTGAACTTGGCCTTTGCTCCATACTGACCCCCCATAGGAGTCACCTACCCCAGCCATCACAACCTCTCCGGCCAGACCCTGACCCCCAGGCCTGCAGTGACCCTACACCCTGCCATGGCTGAGGCCATCGCTGCCCCTACAGCTGGGCCATGCCTGGGACCCCCTGGGTCTTTGTTATTTCACTCGTGTCATCACCTGCCTTGTCACAGACCCTATGGATGTCCCATCTGAGCCACTGCCTCCCACCCCAGATGACCCCCACTGTGGGCCAGGGGCCAGGATTCTGCCTTTTTTATTTTTAAACATTGGCCCTGAACTAACATCTGTTGCCAATCTTTTTTTCTTCCTCTTCTCCCCAAAGCCTCCCAGTACATAATTGGATATTCTAGTTGTGGGTCCTTCTGGCTCTGGCATGTGGGACACTGCCTCAGCATGGCTTGATGAGTGGTGCTAGATCTGGGCCCAGGATCCAAACTGGGAAAACCCTGGGCTGCCAAAGCAGAGCACCCAAACTTAGCCACTCGGCCACGGGGCCAGCCCCTGCGATTCTGCTTCTGAAAATCCCACCCAGCCCGGGGCTGGCCCACCGAGAAGATCAGTGGGGACCTAGAGGTTTAGGCAAATTGGCCGATTCAGCAGCAGGGCCAGGAAAGCCTGTTACCCAGCCCACTGTGGCCTCAGGAAGTACCTGGGGTCCTCAAGTCCCAGCCTAAGACCCCCATCCCAGGTTGGCCCCCTCCCAGACCCAGACTCAGCCACGCCAACAGTCAAACCACAGGGGTGTGCTGATGGGTAAGTGGGCCCTCTGAAAGCAGAAAGAGCCCAGCCAGGACCCCAGGCACTGTGGGTGTCACCTGGGCATCAGCATGGGCACCCTGACCACACTGACACTCCACAAAGGCTCACTCGACACCCACAGTGAGGCTCCTGCTGAGGGGTGGCAGCTACCTGCATAAAGCAGCTGTGCAAACCCAGGAGGGCCCTTCTGCCTCGCTTGGCACCAGCCCCAGGCCCAGCAGGAGGCCCTCTGAGGACATTAACCAACGAGGAGAAGCTACAGCAGGAAGAAAAGGGTCTGGAAGGCATCTGGGGTGAGTAACAGCTGGAAACACAGCTAGGGGCGTTCAGGGTCCTGCCAGAGGCCACACGCTGTCCCTGTGGGTCCTCTGTGCACAGGGGCAGGGTCAGCCTGGAGGGCGAGGCTTGCAGGGCCAGTGTGAGCTCAACGTGAGCGGCGGAGCAGGCCCCTTGGCGGAGGGTTCATGAGGGGCAGCCAGGGATCCTGTCCTGGGAGGGAGGCTGGGGGCGGCAGGGAAAGGAGAAGGGGAGAAAGAAACGTTGATGAAAGAAAGCAGACAACGCTGGAGGAAAGGAGGGAGAGGGAAGCAGTGCAGACAGAGTTCTAGGAAGAAAGAAAATGAGAGACTGAGAGGGAGACAGGCAGGAGAGCCCAAAAGAAGGCGAAATGTGGCAGGGGAGACAGGCCAAAGGGGCAGGAGAGATGGGAGGGGCCAGGCAAGAGAAAGAGGAGCACAGAGGGAGGGAGGGAGGGAGGCGGGAAGGGGCAGGCAGACCCTGGTCCCTGCCGTGGGGCTCTGCTGCCCCCTGCTGGCCACTCACCACCACAGCAGGCCCAGCCCCAAGCCAGGGCCTCACCTGCTCCTCGGGGTTCTGGAAGGGGATCACCAGCACCACATCACCAGCCTTGAGCTGCAGCTCGTCTGTGTCAGTGGCCGTGTAGTCATGCTGGGCCTGCACCTGCAGAGGTTGGGGAGAGTTTGACACCCTTCCCTCAAAGGCCCCGGGTCCCACCTGCGGGCCTTGTGGCTCTGGGGTGATGCACCGACATGGTGACCAGGAGCCTGTGACAGCAGCAGGACTAGGGCTCAGATGCCACCTGGCCAACTGGGTAGCAGGGGTAGTAGGGGCAGGCCAACTTGGGGCCAAGACCTGGCCTCTGGGGTTCAGGGTCCCCATCTGAGGCACCAGGGGACGGTGGCAGACAGCAGCTGTGGGGTCTGCTGGCCTGGGCTCACCTTGAACATGAACCCCGGGGGCAGGTCCACACGCCCAGCCGCACTGCCGCCCTCCACGGTACCGTTCACAGCTGCAGAGAAGGTTTCCACCACGACAGCAGGCAGAGAGCTCTGGGGAGGAAGCACAGGTCAGCGTGGGGCGGTGGGCCCAGGGGGTGGCAGGGCCCCGAGGGCAGGGAAAGGGGTGTCTGTGCTGGTTCCTCGACAGGAACCACGACCTGGACCAGCACAGAGCAAGGAGTGCAGGCGAGAATCAGGGCTGGGAGCCGCGGGCGGGAGGACGGATGGACGGACAGACAGCAGGGAGGAAAAGACAGGGCCTCGGTCCCTGTCGTCTTACGGAGGCTGCTTCACTTGCTGCCGTCTCCCGGGGCTCCTGGGCTCCAGCTGCAGGTTGAGTCCCACCCGCCACCTCCGAGGCCTCCGATGGCTGCAACATAAATGCCAGCATGGGTCAGACAGAAGACGCGCGCCACGACCGGGACAGAGGAAGGGGCCACGGAGGGCGGCACCCTGAGTAGCAAGAGCTGGCCGGTGCCTCCACACAGGTCAGGGAGCCCCTGGAGGAAAGGCAGGTCCCGGGCTGGGGACGCAGCTGCAGAGGGTGCTGGCAGGCACGAGATTGCAGAGTGACCTGCCGCTGAGAAGCCCAACACAGGCCCCTGGGTGCCTCCCGGCCCTCGCTCACAGGCCATGCCCTCTACGCCCAAGACCTGGCCAAGCCTCAGCTTCCTCCCACCCGACCAGCCGGGCCCGCCCCTCACAGGTTGGCAGGGGTCTGCTGAGTCAGCACGTGCCCGTCCCAGCCAGAACACAACTCAGGACAGGCCAGAGCAGCCTTTGCCCAGCCCTGGATGCCTGCTCCCCAAGGAGGGAGCAGCACAGCGCCAGGCACGATGGTGGGGCACAGGCAAGGCAGAGTGGACGCTGCCGGCCTCAGTCAGGCTGACCTCAGCCAGCACCAAAACTCGGCCACCTCCGAGCTCCGGGAGCAGGCACTCAGCCTTCCTAGCCCCCATTTCCTCATCTGTAAAAGGGGGAAATGTGTCTGTTAGGGTGAAGATTAAAGGAGAAAATTCTGGAAAGTAGGTGCTCTAAACGCTCTTCCCTCCCACAGCAGGGGCTGGGGTGGGGCTGGCAGGTGGGAAAGGGGCTGATCTGACCCCAGCCACCCCTAGCATGAGCGACAAGCCCCATCCTAGGCCCTCCTGGCTCACGGACCTGGCCTCACCCCCAGGCCCATAGTGCCCTTGTCCATCCTGTGCCCCCTCCTCTGGGCTCACCCTTCATGCTACACCCTCAGAAACCAGGGACAAATGAGGGGCAGGCAGGTGGGCACTTACTTGGGCAGGCCCCAGCTCGGCCGTCTGGCTGGGCCAGGCCACAGCAAAGGTGCCCTCGGCAGCACTGGGCTCCCTGGAAGGCAGGCCGCCCGCTGGACTCTCTGTGGGCTAGTGATGGGCCGGGGAGAGCAGGGCGGGGGCGGAGGTGGGGAGAAGGTGTTGACAGGGGCACGAGACAAGAGAAGACTGTCATGAGCCACCCAGCGCTGACAAAGGGGAGTGAGGGGTGCCTGTGGCACACAGCCTGGCCGAGCCCAGGAGGGGCAGACGCAGACCCCTGAAGAGACGCCCACTCCCATCTCCTCACTCCTTCCACTGCCAAGGGGATGGACAGGCGCAAATGTGCCACCCGCAGCTCAGCACAGCGACGTCCATTCGGCAAATGGCTCTGCTTGCTCACCCCAGGCTTTCTCTGGCCTCCTCCAGAGAGAAACTCTATTGTGGAGCTTTCTCCTCCGAGCTCCCAGGATCTTGGGCTGCTGACACCTGCACACCAGTGCCCCCACTCCTGCAGGAGCTGTGTCACCAGTCATTGGGCAAGTCCCATGCCCTCCCTGAGCCACTCTGTCAAGCCACCAGGTGACGCCGACACGTGCCGGGCAGGCCCTGCTCACAGAAGGGCCCCTGACCTCACCCTGCCTCTCCTGCCCGTCACGTCATCCCTCCATCCCTCCTCTGTCCCACCAGCTCCAGATGCCACTGCCCTGCGGGGCCCCTGATGACAGAAGGCTCCTCCAGGGCAAGGCCCCTCCCCTCTGCGGCCCTCCTAACCCACAGGCCTCGGCCCAGCAGGAGGCACCTTCTCCAGCCTGGATGGCAGCTGGTCACTGTCTAGGGCCACTCACAGGCCCTGACAACTGGCCCAACCATGGAGGTCCCTCTTCTCAGGCTAAACCAAGGAGCCCCTTTCCATGGAGCCTGGCTGAGGGCTCTGTGTCTCCACGGGGGCACGAAGCAGCCGATCAGCTGGAGACGAGGCAGCTGCGCCAGCTCCCTGTGCGTGTGAGCACGGGCCCGAGCATGTGTGTGCGTGCACCTGTGAACCGTCAAGGTGCAGGACGAGGCGTGGCGGGCCCAGCACACACAGGAGAGCAGCTCCCCCCCGGGGGTGGCCACAGAGCACACACGGCTTACCTCCCAGAGGTCCCAGGGAATTGGCTGAGCGCAGCAGAGGGGAGAAGGACAGAGTTAGCACAGAGGTTAGAGACGGCAGTGGGCAAGCATTCCCCAGGGCCACCACCCCACGCCCGCCCCAGGGCCCTGGAGCCCGGCAGACACGGAGCTGGGCTCTGAGGTCTGCGAGGGCCAAGTCCTGGACACGTCTCAGGGGGCTGAGACCCCAGGCAGAGGAGCACCCAAGCACGGGGTGCTGCCAGGAGAGGGGCAGGCGCTGAGACAGACCGCCAGCTGCCAGGCAAGTGTTCAGCTGGCCCCGCCTCAGGGTCCTCTCACTGGCCTGGGTCTGCTCTCTCGCCTTCCCATGGTCAGGCAGGACTGGAGGAGGTGACAAGAGCCATGGGCCAGGGTATGAGTGGGAGGACAGCCTGGTGACCCCAGGACTCCCAAAGGCCTAGGCCTACAGAGGCCCACGTGGCCAGCGGGCAGACATGAGCCCAGGGCTGGTGGGCTCAGACCAACCTGACCAGAGGGCGTGGGCGCCTTCACGGGACTCGCCACAGGCGGGAGGGGGTCAAAGTCCAGGTCCAGCAGACTGGCCTGCTCCGAGAAGGGGCCCGGGGCCTCAAACTTGGCGGCAGCAGCAGAGGAGGAAGGCAGTTAGTGACAGGTAGGGACCGTCGACACAGGCACACACAGCGGGCACTTGCACTCAGGGACACGTCCAGCCCTCACACGAAGGGGTGCTGCCCACGCCGCACACCCTGGCACAAGCCTGCACCACACAGGACGAGGCCTGGAGCCCACCTCAGACATCGGCCACAACTGCCGCCCGACCAGAGCCAAGCCCCCAATCCCCCCGTCTCGTTCTGCAGGCAGACTCAGGCTGCCCTGTGCCTGCGCTTCCTCTCGGCTCCCTGGGCCCACAGCAGCCCCACCTCATCCCTCCCCCAGATGTAGCACAGCTACAGCCGGCTGGACAAGACAACCTGTGGTCCCCCCGACCTGGAGGGCCTCTAGGACAGGCACAGGCCTCCCCTCACTGCCCCATACGAACAGGTCACCCTATGGTGACAGCTACCCACCAGTCAGCTCCAGGGAGCGAGGCCAGGGCTGAGGCAGCACACGTTGCCTAGGGGCCCAATCTTAAACGTGGGGGTCCCCAGCACCTGGGGTACCCATGTTCAAACTGCAGATCCTGCCCCCACCAGCAGAGAGTCCCACTCAGTGTGTCTGAGTGCAGGCCAGGAATGTGCACGCAGCAGGTATGGCCCCAGGAGGCTGGGAGGGGGCCCCGTTCACGTTGTGAGAAACCAGCCCCACCGTAAGCCATGCCAGACAATTGTGGGAAAAAAGGGTCTTTCCCAGAGCCGCTCACAAGGCTGTCAGGCTGGGTCCACAGGGGACATGCTGCCCTCACAGGAGGAGGGCCTTGCTCAACTGCTGCAGCCTTCATGTTGGACGCAGCTTTCCCTTTGGAGGCCATGGAGGACTTTGCCCAGGTCCTAGAGGACAGAGCTGGCTTGGCCCCGGGGCCTCCTCCCCACCCTCCTGCAGCACTGGCAGGCACAACCCCACAAGCCCAGGCGACCCCAGCTTCCGGGCACCCAGCGCTGACAGCAAGCACCCTCCAGCCTGCCTCCACCAGAGCCTCCATAAAGAAGGACCCGAGAGCTGAGAGCGTGGGGAGGAGCTCCCCAGAGAGGCCTTCATAGCTGAGCTGCAGCCTACGGGGAGAGACCAGACCTTCGCCCTGAGAAGGCTTGGTGCCAGCCATCCCGCAGCTCGAGGCAAGGCCTCCATGCCGGCCAAGTGCACTCACTTTCCAGACAGGGGACCCCAGGCCCTGAGCCCCTGCCCCAGGCTCACCCCCAGCTCTGACTTTCCTTTACTTTGAGCCCTGTCCCATGAGCCTGGGGGAGGGAGGTCACTGCTCAATCCCCACAGCCGTGCCGTCTCAAAATCACTGAGTGCTCAGGACACCATGAGTGCACGGCCTCCAGGTGCCCTCCCCCCAGGTGGTGGGCAGCACTTCTCTCCTCCAGGTAGCCCCACCATTCGCCCCTTCTCAGAAGTCACCCAAGTCCAGACAGCCGCCCGTCATGCTCCAAGTGGACAGGGTCACCAGGCCAAAAGACAGGCTGTATCATCCCTGCCCCTCCTCCCAGGCCAGCCTCCCCACCCTGCAGGACAGGGACTGTCCTTCGGCACAGGACACAGGCTACTCACCACGACCTAGCAGAGCAGTGGTGTTAGCACAGCATCATGGCAGGGGACCAGCCCACCCCGGCCCCAGGCAGCAGCACCCACAGGGCACACTCCCGCCCTCGCCAGGCAGAGACCCAGTTCCCTGAACAAGTGGAGGAGGCAGCAGGGGAAGCATGCAGTGAGCATGGAGGGGCACACCCAGTGCGCGCGGTCTGGCTGAGGTCAGGCCCGCAGGTTCCTCCCCCGTTAACTGGGGACAACCGCCTCTGAGAGGATGGCTGAAAACCCAACCAGGTCGTGTAGGTAAGTGGCTGACACCGTTCCCTGCTCAGTGTTCACTCGCTCTTGGTCACCCCATCTCCCTCGTGTGCAACCTCACCAGCCAGCAAGCATCCCAGTAGCAAGCTGCCCTGGAGGTCCCTCTCCCCGCTCCCCCCACCCCGGCTCCAGGAGCACCTCGGCCAGCCTCGGCCACCTTCTACAGAGAGGGGCTCCTGCACCTCCAGCCCTGGGCCAGGGCTTCCCCGCTCTGCCCACCTAGCGCCTGTATTCAAAGTTCCTAGTTCTAACCTGAAGTCCTCCCTGGGGGCTTGAAGCCCCTCGCCCCTAGGCCCCTTAGCAGAGACCACTGTCCTCAGTTCCCAGCTACCTCTCCATCCACACTCACCCCTCTCGCCCGGCCCCTCACCTCCAGGCCTCAGGGCTTGTGCAAAGGAGCCTGTGGGAGGCAGAGCCCAGAGACCAGGCAGTGCTCCAACACCGGCCCACGTGGGATTAGCCTGGGAGCAGCCAGTCACAAGAGGCGAGACCCCACATGGAAAGGGCCCTGGCTGTGAGGCCTGGACACCAGGCTCCGAATGTCTAGCACACTGTGGCCCCTGCAAGCTGAGCAGACAGTGTGCAGCCCACTCCAGTGCTCCCATGGTCACCTTCCCTGCTTGGCCCTCCTTCTGTCCATCTGTAACAGGCATTACATGCCTTCTTAGGGCATTTACAAGCAGCAGCTCTGCTCTGCAGCCCAGCCACCACCCCACATCCAAGGGCTGCCAGGAGCTCTGGGAACTAAAGTCTAGGTGCCTTGGCCAGACCTTCCAGGACCTTCCCAGCTGCCCCTGCTGCCTGCTCTCACTGCCTCCCACAGCGGCACCCTCCCAGCACACAGAACTCCCAGAAGTCCCTAAGCCCTTCTCTCACCCCTCCTGGGCTACGTACAAGCTGCTGTCTCTGGCTAAAGCACTGTGTCTGCTCGTAGCCGCCTGCTCCAGGAAGCCTTCCCTGACTGGCCCAGGTCCTCCGTGTTCACTGCCCCTTTCGACCAGAACATCAATGGAACCGCGAGGCCATTGCGGAGCTGTCTGTCTCCACTAGAACGGTTCACCTGTGTGCCTGCGTCTGGCCACAGTACATGCTCAGAGATGGATGAGGAATGATGGAGGAAGGGATGGATGGATGAGCGAGAGGGAGGCTCAGGGTCAATCTCTCCAGCCAGCTTCTTGGCTCTTGAGGCAGAGGCCCAGGGCGTGGGATGAAGAGGGAAGGCCATGCACGCCTGAGAGAGCAAGAGGAGGGAAGAGAGCTGGGCCGCGGCGGCCGCGGCTGACCTGGGAGGGGGTGGTCACGCTGATCTCAGGGACAAACGTGTCGTCAAACAGGCTGAGGATCTGTTCCTGCTTGACCTCCTTGGACGGGGTGTGTTTGGGAGGCGGAGGGACTGGTGGGCCTTTCCGGAGCTGTGGGTCGGCAGCGGGTGAGGGGGCCGTGTGGGGAGGCACAGCAGAGCGTCGGGGATGGGGACAGACAGACAGAGACAAAGCCACAGTTAGTCACACCCAGGCCACAGCCCCACCCAGGCAACCGAGAAAGACAGAGCAGGAAGAGTCACTGCTCCCCAAGATACAGACGCCAGGACCCCACGGCCACCCTGGGGGAGAGTGAGGCAGGGCATCCAGGAACGCTGTGCAGAGAGGAGAAAGGAGGGGGAGGGGAGAAAGGAGGGGGAGGAGAGATGATGGGAGGGGAAGAAGAGAGAAAAGAAAAAGAGAGCAGTAGAGAAGAGGGAGAAAGCAGGGAGCAGCCGCCCAGGCCACCCAGGGCCGCTGTCGGAGGGTCTGGGCTCCTGCCCACCCAGGTGAGAAGCTGGAGAGAGAAACGTGGTGGAGAAACAGCCCGGGTGCCCGGCCCGCCCTCCAGCCCTACTTTCCTGAGCCCAGACCCCTCTCTTCACCTCCTGCAGGAGGCCCCCGTCAGCCTCTGCTGTCACATGTGGAGGCCGTCACATGTCAGGGCCGGCATGGAGCCAGCAGAGACCCAGGAAGAGGGTCACACGTCTGCCCGTGTGGGGGGACCTCAGGCATGTCACGCAACCCCCCGAGCGTGGGTTTCCTCACTTGTCAGCTGGAGCGATGGCAGCACCTGCCTCAGGGGGCTGTGAGGATCCAGTGAATGAAAACACGGACAGCGCGGGCACAGTGGCCAGCCCAGATAAGCGCTATTCAAGTGTGGGCTCTCATCACGGCTCTTAACATCATCATCCTAATCAGCGTGGGCCGGGTGATGGCCTAAAACCAACAGAGCCACTGCCAGCAGCAGACGCTGGGGAGAGACTAACAGGGCTGACAGGCCAACAGAGGCCACCCTCCTCCCTCCCTTTCCAGCTCCTGGGGATGCTGTGGAAACCTGGAGAAAGCTGGGGGCACAGGGCCTGGCTTCTCCAGGAGGGGCAGTCCAGAAGCACAGAGCCTGCGCCCCCTTGTTCACTTCACAGTCTCCTCACTGAGCCCTTTCCCTTGCTGCCCCTTTAAAGATCCTGCAGGGCCCCATGCAAGGGAGACGGCCAGGAGGAGAGAAAGGCAGTCACCTCCGCAGACTCTAGATGCTGGGAGCTCAGGGCCCAGAGCCTGTGTCTCAGGAGCGAAGGAACATGGAGACAGCAAAGTACCCCGCAGGCCAGGGAGAGAGGGAAGGGAGGGCACTGCGCTGGGGGAGGAGGACGCACAGTCACAGATGCCCCGGAAGGAGGCCAAGGCCACCAAGATGAGCCTGGGCCGGGCAAGGCATGAGTGAGGCCAGGGTCCAGACCCAGGCAGAGGACAGAGGACTGGGGAGCAAAGCAGGAGGAAGAGACGGAGGACGAGGAGACAGGCCCTGGGACGGGGTGCCTACCTGAGACGGGGACTTAGGGAGGGCGGCCCCGGGTGTGGCCACACTGGCTGGCTCGGGCTCGTGGTTGACTCTGATCTCGGGGGTGGCGGCAGGGGAGCCATCTGGCGGAGGTGAAGGGCTCTTGTTCCCTTTGGCAGGGGCATTGTCGCTGTGGAGGCAAGACAGGACAGGGAGCCTGATGGAGGAAGGCCACAGTGTAGGAGAGGGAATGTGTAAATACACAGGTGTGCGTGTGACGCACTGTGCACGTGCAGATGCCCCACGATCCATGTGTGAAAATGTGTGTGCACATGTGTATGAGCTTGTGTCCATGTAGATCAATGTGGGAGACTGCGGGTGGACGTGTGTCCACAGATTCACTGTGAGAATGGGATGTCCACGTATGCATGAGTGTGGGTCCTTGTGCATCCACGTGTGAACAGCACGTCGGTGTGCATGAGGATGGGTTGAAATGAAAGGAGGTAGGCAGGAGACCACAGGTGGTCGCAGCAGGGGCCTGCCCTGGAGAAAGGGCCGGTCTGCGGTGCCCAGGGGAGCAGCCCCCTGAGGCCAGCCCAGCGCCCACAGACCTCTTGGGGCCCCACCCTCCCCTCACTCAGAGGCCGAGCTCCAGAGCGGGAGAAAGCCAAACCTCCTAGAGGCAGAGAGTCTCCTCCCAGACATCACACAACAGCCCTGTGCCCAGGGCGGGCCCCAAGGCTCAGCCAGACCACAAAGGCCTCTGGGGGGGGCGTCCCCCACCTCACAGCCCTGCCCCGGGGCTGCCACCCCCATCCAGACCAGGCCTCACTGTCTCACCAGTGCTCTCACAGGCCCTGCAGGGAAGGGTGTGAGGGAGGGCGCCAGCCACCGTGGGGGTGGTCGCCAGACGAGAGTCTGGCGGCCTCCAGGCCAGACGGTTCAGGACCAAAAACAAGGGCGAATGTGTGCATAACCCGCCCCGTGGGTACAACGGGAGCAGAAAATAAAAACCTGTATTTGTACCTGCACCAAGAAACACTAGGCCAGGCACTGGCTGAGACTAGCTGCTAGCCACAGGCGGCTGCTCAAATTTACACCTAAATTAAATGAAATTAAAAATTCAGCTCCTCAGGCACACTGGCGACATCTCAAGTCACCTTGACAGTCACCTGAGGTGAGCGGCTACTGTGGTGGACAGGGCAGGTCTGGAAGGAAAGGAAGGGAACCAGTGACCATGTCACCTGGGGTGAGGGGGGGGGGTCACACGATGGAACAGACGTGTGAGCGATATCCATAGTACCTTCTTGTCTTTATTGAATTTATGTTTTCTGGGAATGTACTTGCCTTGCGTCACTTAACAACAGGAATATGTTCAGAGAAACGTGTCGGTGGGCGATCTCGTGCCACAGAGCACGCTTGCACACACCTAGACGGCACAGCCCACTGCACACCTAGACCGTGCGGCACTAATGCTACGGGGCCTCATCACACGTGCGGGCCATCACTGACTGCCACGTCGTTATGCAGCGTGTGACTGTACACACGAACCTAGTACACACACACGTAAGTTTACAAACCGCCCGTGCTGCAGCCTCTTTCCCTGAGCCTCCCCAGGCCCCTGCTGGCTACATTCTCCACCTGTTAATGCCCCTGGGGCGCAGCCCGGCAGACTCAGTGCTGCACAGGACGTGCTGCCCTGCGCTCGGCTGTCCGGCCGCCCCCATGCCCCCAACAGGCCCTCTACCCCCAACACGCACACGGCACAGCAGCCCGGCCGTAGCCGGCCCTCGGGAAGGCGGGGTTAGTGCGCCCTTGGAGAGGGCTAGGCGCATGCAGGGGCCGGCGGGCCGGGCTGGCCGGGCCGCACAATGCCGCACTCACTGCTGGTACCTGTTCTTCTTTCTGCGCAGCCGGGAGAACAGTTTAGTTTTCTTTCTGTGGGACGGACGGGACGTGGAGGCCTTCATTTGGGGGAAATGCCAGATTCGGGGCTGGCCTGTCCCCTTCCCTCATCAGCAACCCCTCTGCTCAGAGGACAGCAAACGGCCACAACCTCTGCCACCACCCGAGGCCACGAGAGGGCCTGACCCCGAGCGCGGGCCGCCTCCTCCCCAGGGCCTGCTGGCCTCACCACTGCCAGGTGCCCTGGAGCGCTGCCGGCCAACAGAGCACACGAGCCAGCGAGCTGGAGGAGGGCGCTCAGGGGCTCAGAGGACCAGGAAGGAGTGGGTGGCTGGCCAGTGGGGGCTCCCGGGAGAGGAGGTGACTGGGCCACAAAATGGGCCACTATGCTTTCAGGGGGTCACGAGTCTCCACATCCCCACCTCTGCCCTCAGACCAGCCACTGTCCAGCAGGAAGGAGCCTGGCCCACGTGCAGGCCCAGGATGGCCACCACTCACCGCCCTCCTCACCCATCCTGGACGCCCCTTCTGTCCCCTCCAGGCCAGGCAGCTGCAGCGCAGGGGGGCCGGTCCTCCTGGGACCTGGGACCCCGTCCTAGTCTCTAGGCCACCCTCTCCCCAAACCCTGCGCTGTCACCTGCAGGGCCCCTCTCTAGACCACGTTTTATTTTCAGGGGCGAAGAAGAGCAATAACATTCACTGAATACCTTCGCAGCCCTAGGTAGTGCCCCAGCTGCCCCAGCAAGCAGACAATCACCCCCTCTCATAGACAGGAAAGCGAGCTCCCCGGTGCTCCACGCTGAGCGACGCCCGGCCACAGAGGAAACGAAATCTGGACTCGCTCTTGTTTCCCCTGAGCCACAGCCAGGGGGCAAGGCACTTGCCCTCCTCGCTCACAGGCTCCCCTCAGGAAACAGGGATCTCCTGGCAGGGGGAGGGCCCCCACCCCACCCCGAGGCCAGAGCCAGAACAGGAACGAGGACAGCTTTGCGGTGTGCAGAATGCCGCCTTCCAGGGACTGGGACCTCCCAGGAGCAGGAGAGGGAAAAAGCGGCACTACCCCTCTGCTCTAAGAAGATGGCTCACTTCCCAGAAGGCTCCATGTCCGTCAATCATTTAGTCCCCACGCCCCCACCTCCAAGCTGAGCAGGCGCCCTGACTGCTCCTGCCCCACAGATGAGGAAGCCAGGACGGTGATCTGCAGACTGACCTCTTCATGGGACACCCCGGAGCTGTAGGGGGTGCCCTCCGCAAGTCCCCTGAGCACAGGGAGGCAAGCCAGAAAGGCGAATCCCAGAGGGACGCAAGAACAAGCCTCGTCTGACCTTGCATGAGTCAGCGAGCACCAGGCGTCAGCCCCCACCACACCTCCCCACGCCCATGCTGCAGGGCAGTGGGCGCCACATACCTGGGCTGGGCCTTGACCGTGAAAGTGTTGCTGCCGTGCTGTTTCTCCAGGCTGACCAGCACGTCATTGAGGTTCTGGTTGAGCTGCAGAGGGGACAGCAAGCAGGTGGGGGTGGTCTGGAATCCGCCACCATCACTTCATCCCTCTGGACCCTAGAGACAGAGCCAGACCCACCCACTGCCCAGAGGGAGGGAGCTGCCAACACGGGGTTTCTCCAACTCGGCTTTACAGTATAACCGTTAAATTAAAATGAAAATAACACGACAGAGGAGTGTAGGCTAATCAGACTCCTTGTTACACCAGATTCTGACAGATAAAGCAGACTTGTTTCAATATGTTAAGCAACATGGGAGAAAAATTAAAAATTGAGAAAATTCTAGGAATCTATTATTTGCCTACAAATTGGGAAACCACCGTCATTCTCTGATACGGAGCTCCCTTGGTCAGGGTAGCCTGAGAACACGTTTACTGTCACAGGGGGGCTGGCTCTGTCCAGGCAAGGAGAATAGGTCTGGGAGCAGGGCGCAGGCCGGGGCTGCACCCATGGGCCCCCCCTCCCGCCCCTGCTCCCAGCCTCCCCAGCACACCCAGCCCCTCCCAGTGGCCCAGACTCTCTGCTTCTTGAGGGTGGGAGCTAGGCGGCTCCTCCCAGAACCCAGAGGGGGCGCTGTGTTCACTAGTATGTGCCAAAGCCCAGCAGGAAGAGGGAGCTCAGCCTGCCACTCCAAGCCTCTGAGCCTGGCCCATCAGGGGGGAGCACGGCGGAGGCCCTGAGGCCCACGGTGACCAGGGCATACCTTACTCATCTCCTTGTGGAAGTTTTCCTCCAGGCCCGCAATGCTCTGAAACGTGTTGACATAGAAACCTACACGGCTGCAGGAGCGGGGGGAAAAGGGCAAAGTGAGCACACAGGTCAGGGTGGACAGCCCAGGAGAGCCACACACGCTGATACACCTCCACTACCACCAGAGACACAAACCCTGAGGGCACGGGGCACCCAGGACAGACACACGTGACACAGCCACGCAGCCTCGAGGGGAGGCCGAGGCTCAGCCCTGCCACCTCTGGCCCTCACCTGTTCCACAGGGATGGCAGCTCCTCCTGCAGATCCACATTCATCTCCTCAAACACCTTCTGGGCTTTGATGAGCTCCTCCTCGGCCTGAGGGGCAGGACAGGTCATCCCCCTCTGCTGAGCCTCTGTCCCAGCCAGCCCAGGCCCACCCCCAAGACCTGTGCCACCCAACCTCCCTCTCTGGGACCAGGACTCTTGGCAAGATGGAGGCTGAACTGGATGTGGACGCCCAGGGAAGAGCCCTCAAACAGCCCCTCAGGCCCTTGCAGCCAGGCCAGTGGGGGCTGTTCCAAGAAGGGGAGAGCAGAGCAGCCATGGCAAGAGGGAGACCCCCCCATCTGGCCCAAGTAGGCCACAGGGGAGGCAAGGGATGAACAGGGCACAACAAGAAGGCAAGAGACAAGGGGCCTGGGGGGCTGGGGCACAGTAGGGGCACAGAGGCAGACCCAGAGCCAGTCAGGTGGGGGCCCTGCCCGCTCCCCCGGGAACCCCTCTCCAGCTAAGTGTCAGCCTGCTGCCTAGCTCTCCGGGCCTTGCTGTCCCCTCCTGAGGATTCCTTTCCCCTTTCTCAAGGCGGCTCCTACTCAGCCTCAGCCACCAACCTGCATTTCACCTCCCTGGGAGAGGCTTTCCTTCCCCCCCTCACCTCCCCCCACCCCTCTCTCCTCTGTGACCTGTCCCCACCCAGGCAGAGGGCAGGGCCAGGGAGGAGGGAGCTGGGCTGCTGGGCAAGGTGCCTGTGCCCTCCCTGAAGGCCTTCCCCAGGGCAGGCCCTGTGCCCTCCAGGCCTGCTCGCACCCACCAGGTGGTGGCGCTAAGGCCCCATCACAGAGCAGAAGGACAGAGGGAGCAGCAGGCACCCCCCTCTCTGAAGGTGGAGGGAGGGCCAAGGGGAGGCTAGGGTGAGTCACAGGCCCCTCCAGAGAAGGGGCTAGCTCCTTCTGGACAGCGCTGCTGGAAACAGTGACTCAGGGGGGTGACTTGGATTCAGGGTCTGAGTCACAGCCCTGGAACGTGGCAGCTCCGCCCAGGAGAACACTTCCCCCCAGCAGCCTCACGTTCTCAGGCCTTCTGGCAAAGGCAGCCAACCGGCCTGACGGCCAGACTCTCACAAAGCCAGGATTTCTGCAAGCCCACCCAGCTGTCCCATCCCGCTTCAGGCACCAGATCAGCCCAAGTCAGCCCCTCCCCTGCTGGGCAACGACCCCCCCCACCTCCCCCGCCCCACCCCCGGGCTGAGCTGTGGTGACTTGGGGGTGCAACTAGAGGAGAGAGGGGCCACCATCGTTCCTGACTATACAATTACCTTCAGGTTGTTGGAACCTGCTAGAGTGGGCATGAGCTCCTTGCCTAACTTTTTAAAATCTAATTTAACAATTAAAGGTAGAATAGGAAAACAAAAATGTCTCTAAACATGCATGCCTTAGGCCACTCCTGGAATAGCCCAGATCTGGTGTGACCTCTGAGCCATGGCCAGGCCATCCCTGCCCTACTCCTCTGAGCACCCCAGTGCCTGAGCGGGGGCTGCTCACAATGGCTTGTAGAACCCACAAAATGAGCGACCCCACAGGACCAGCCTCAAGCGCCTCGCACTCTTATACACGCCTCCCACTCCACTGCAGAGTCTGGCTCAAATCCCGTGTCCCCCCACTCCACCTTGACCACCCCAGCTCCTATACCCGCAGAGACCACCTCTCCGTGAGCATTCAGCTGCCACCCCGCCACCCTGGTCCCAGCTCCCCAAATGAACAATCATGACAGTGAGAGTGTTGACGGCACAGCTGCTCACTGCTGTGCGCCAAGCCCTGTTCACACGTCCCAGCAACAGCAATGCTGCAAAAAACAGAGCAGCTCCGTGTTAGAGTTCCTGGAAGTCAGGGCTGGAGTCTTTTATTCCCTTTGGGTCACAGTCCTCCTCTTCCAGCTCTTTCAGAAGCACGTGGCCGGGGGGGAAGAGCTGTCCACTGCGGGGAGCATTTGCAGCCCCAGTGGCTCTGCTGCATGCTTCTGGCACAGAGCGCAGACCCAGAATGACCTGCTCCTCAGGCAGCAGGGCCCCAGGGGCCTGCAGGCAGGTTTTGGGAGACTGGAGCAAGTGTGGAAAGCAGCTCAGAACTAGCCCAGGGGACACCTGGAGCTGGTCAGCCCTAGAGAGCACAGCCTCACAAGGCTGCACTGTCTCCCCAAAGGTAAGTCAGCCAGCAGGGCCCCAAGTGGCCCAGCTCATAGCCAGCCAGCTGCCCACAGGAACTCTGAAGGCTCCCCAGCTTCCAGCAGGCATGTGGCAGGTGGGGGCAGAAGGAAGTCACGCTCAAATAAAAATTGGATCCAAGTGGGAAAGCCAACTCGGCTGAAAGGCCAAACATCTGCAGCCTGACGTCCGAAGACGAGGTTGTAAGCCTTGGCCTCCCTGCCCTCCCCGGGACGGGGGCCTCCAGCAGGATACCCCGGGCCCAAAAGCAACTGCAGAGACCACCCTAGGCCACACAGTCTCCCAGGGGCTTCTCCCACCCAACAAAAATGTTCACCTGGCCTCCTGCCAAACCCATTTCAGAAAAATTATGCAGAAACCCTGACTGTGGGTCAGCAACCCCATTCGCCCTCCAGCCAGAAGTCCTGAGCTCTGCAGGCAGGACAGGCCCACTCCAGCCCTCGCTCCTCTTCCACCTCCTGCAGCAGAGGAGGATGTGCACCTATCGACGGCTAGGCCACCTTCCCCAGACCCTGAAGATCCAGGGCCACCTGACCTCAGGGTGAGGCTGTCAACAGTTCAGTGCCTCCAAAGTCAGCCCACAGCTTTGGCCTAAAAGAAATCAGGCAGCAGGTCAGGTAAGAAATTGGGCCATGAGCCCTGCTGAGCCCAGAGCTCTCCACATCACTGGCATTCAACATATGTGGGTTGAAGATGATGAAATCAGGAGGTGGTCCAGAGAAAACGCGGCAGCTGCCCAGAGGGAAACCCAACCTCCTGGGTCGGGCGTCTGTCACTCCCTCCCACCCTGGGATCATGAAGGGGCGCTAGAGTCATGTCAGTTTCACTGCCGAGAAATCCACAAGGCTGTCTCTCCCAGGCACTGTATCCAGCAGTCCCTGGTCACACCCTGCTCACCCAGGACCTGGCCCATGCTAAGGGCAGGGGCTGAGAAGAGTGAAGGATGGCCAGGGTAGCAGGATCATTCAGGAGTTTTGTACAAAGAGCCTCCTGTGGAAGCCTTCCAGGACCACTGTGGTTTGGACTCTTTGCCCTCCATGAAACTCACAAAGAGCCGACCCTCTAGGCCCCAGGTGTCAGCATCCCAGCCAGACTGAAAGGCCTCCCAGTGTCCCCTCCAGGGGCCCACAAGTCCCAGGGATCCCCATGAGTCTGGCCAGCTGTGGCAGGAGCACCCACATGGAGCCCCAAGCCAGGGAGCTAGGATAATAACGAATGACCCAGGGCTTGAGTCAAGCAAGCCCAAGCTCAGCCACTAGGCGGCTCTGGGAGCCGGGGCAGGACATTGTGCTTCTGTGGGCAACTTTGTCTCCTCAGTAAATTCAGGATAGCCTCACAGTTCTTATGAGGGCTGAAGGACAAGCACGCCAGGACAGGAGCCTTAGTGACATCATGTCCCTCCTGGTAGGAGCCTCACAGAGGATAAGCGGCTCCGAGGCTTTCCTGAGTTCCTGGAGGCTAGGATTTCAGTGTCTCAGGACTACAGAGACCCAGGTCAACCAGTGCCCCAGCCTCTCTCTGCCTCATACATTTGACCTCAGGTCTCCCAGCAGACGCATCTGAAACAGCCCTGCCTCCCAACCCGGGAAAGGGGCTGAGCCCTCCCCCACCCAGGGGCAGTGCAGGGCAGCTGGGCAGACAGGCGCCCAGCGCCAAGGACAGGACAAGAGACCAGAAGGCGCCAGCACGTGCAAGGTTAGAAGCCAGTGTCACCTGATTTCGGAGCAGGTTAGTTTGAGCTACGAGATGAGCCTGCAGTTTGCCTTGGCACCACTGGGGGGCGGCTTTCTCAAGCAGCGAGACAGGCTGGGGGTGGGGAGGGGAGGTCAAGGCAAAGGAGAGTGGAGAAACAGGAGGGAGACGGGAGAGAGAAACAGAGACACAGATATTAAACACCAAGTCCAAACATCCCAAACGCAGAGACAGACAGGCTGGCCACCCCCCAGGGGCCGGCCCCCGACAGCAGGGAAAAGCCCTCTGAGGCTGACAGAATGAAGGGGAGCCCCAAGCGCGGGCGGAGACGGGGGTTGAACTCCAACTGCAAAGCAAAACGTGAGAATTGTTAGCAGGGGCAGAGGGCTGGGCAAGCGCGGTCAGCCGCTGGCATGTGGAGAGTGTGGCCAGCCCTAGCCCCAGCCCCAGCCCCAGCCCCTGGCTTGTTCCAGCTGAGACAGGGTCACATCAGATCCCGTGACGGAATTCCACTTGGAGTACGCCAGGCCGGGCGGGCCTGGTCCCAGTGTAACCCAAGCCAGGTCTGCTCTCATCCTGGAAAGTGGCCAAGTGGCCTCAGGGCGGCCAGAGGGGCCAGGGGCCAGGGGCCAGGGCAGGCACCACAGGATGGGCCAGAAGTGGGCCCTCACCAGGCGTCCTCCCACTTCCCCGCCCAGGGCCAGCACCCCCGCCTCCCCAGCTCTGCGGCCTGGGACTAGTCACGGCTGCACAGCCCTCACAAGGGGGCTGACTGCTGCGGCCAGGGGAGCGGTGAGAACCAAGGCTGCAGAGGGGTGCGGGGAGCGCAGCGCAGAGGGACGGCTCCTCCTGGGCTCCCCGCTGCGCCTCCCAGAAGACTCCCCCTGCCCGCCCACCAGCCCTCACCTTGGCGATTTTGGCTTCATCCTTCTTTTTGGCGGTTTGGAGGGACTCGAAGTGGTGCCGGGCACTGTCGTAGTCCACCAGCTTCCGCCCTCGCTTGGCGATGCGTGACTGGGGGACAGATGGAGGAGGAGGGGTTGAACAGGGCCTGGCACTCATGCTGAGGAGCTGACCCAGGCTGGGCCCAGAGAAACCGGGTCGTGGGCGCAGGGCCCTGGATGCAGCCGGAGGGCCCAGGGCAGGAGACCCCAGGCTCACCGAGTACATCTAAAGCATGCTTGAGACACGGGTGCTCAAACGCTTCTGGTGGCAACGAGCTCACCCCTTCAAGGCAGTCCATGTCCTCTGTGTCCTTTCTCATAGAGAGGTCACACCGATTCCTTGCAATATTAACCCATTTGTCAGCATCCACCAGCCGGTACTGTGTGGGCTGAGCCACTTTCCTGGCCTGGCCCTCAGCTCCTTAAAGACGCCTCCTGGGCCCCAGGCTTATCTTCTCCAGGGCCACCACTGCCAGCCTCCCTTCTGTACTTCCAACAAGGCACCTTCGGGAGCCTGAGGCACCTGCAGTGGGTAGCCAAGGGGGCCAGCATGGAGCACCACCCCCTCCCCAGGGGACAGGTCCAGCACAACGGTCAACACCTGGGCTCGACACCTCTGCTTCCAGGGCCAAAACACTCGGGGTCCCACTCGCCTCAGTGGAGACCCTGGCACAGTGACAGTTTTAGCACATACTAGGCCCAGCAGAGGCAGCTGGCTTTTTGAACATACGCAATCATACAAATACCCCAGAGAGGAGGTGACACACACAACTGCACACACCCCTTCCAAGCACACACAGCCTGACACAGGCACACTCAGGCACACACGCCCAGGCCTGGATCCCTGTAATACACCATATCCAATCCTACAGTCTCTCCTCAGTGGCACAGCCACACACACACACACCAGGGGTCTCACTGTAGCCCAGAGTCCCAAAGGTACAGGCTCCCAGCTCGGAAAGGCCCAGGTCTGGGGAGGCAGGGGGCTGGGGGGCTGCACAGAGAAGCAGCCCTTGAGGGACGGACTTCCAGGTGAGGTGATGCCTGCCTCAGGGCGGAGTCCCCCAGCGCTGCGCCAGCCCCACACCCGTTCCTCTCTCCCTCTCCAGTTCCTTAGCCTGGCCGCCGGCCCAGAGCCGGGCAGATCTACAGACAGCACCTCTCACCTTGATGTCAGGGAACTGGCCCAGGTACGTGTCCATGGTGAGCAGCGCCTGGTCCACCAGCTTCTGGTGGAAATCCATCCAGAGCAGGTCGTTGTTCTGAGGGAGGAAGAGCGCGTGAGTGCAGCACGGGGGCTCGGCCACCCGGCTCCCAGCTCTCCCTCCCAGGGCCGGGGGCAGCCAAGCCCCATCCCTTCACAGCTCAGTGTCTTCTCAGAACCTCAGTTTCCTCATCATTGAAATGGGGGGTAATGACTCCTGCCCTGTGGCCTTTCACGGCATGACTGTGAGGATCAGATAAGCCCAGGGCTGGTGGGGTCAGGGAAGGAGGCCGACTGAGTCATGAGACACAACACAGAGATAAGGAATGGCCACAATGCATTACCTCACGACAACCCACCTCAGTGTGAGGGCGTCAGAGGAAAAACATGACCCTCAGAGACGGCAGGTGACTTGCCCAAGGGCACACAGCATGTGAGTGCCCCAACAGGAAAGGCTTGTCCAAGAGGGTGAGACAGAGCGGGACAGGCCAGCAGCAGCTAAGGCCAGAAGGGCCCTGTGGGCAGGGCCAAGACCACCTGCCCGGCACTCACCTCGGCGATCTTATTCGCGTCGTCCCTGCCAGGCCAGTCGGGCTCATACACCTCCTGCAGACACTCGTTCAGCTTCTTAGAGGCCTCATGCATGGCTGTGGGCCAAAAGGGTCACTCTGCAGCCAGGGCCACTATGGGCCAGGGACGCAAGGGGACCTTTGTCCCAAGGCCAGGAGGTATGTGGGCCTCCACAGACAACCCTTGTCCCCTCACCACAGACCCTGCCACCCCTTCCCAGTTCTGCACCCATCAGCTCCACAGGGGGAAGTCCCCTCACTGTGTCCCATAACGCCCAGCCCACCCAGGAGCCCCACCTGCCCCTTACCTTTGACCGAGGCCAGGTAGGTCCGCAAATCCTTCTGCAGTCGAGTGCCCTCGGTCTACAAAGAGAAAGATGGGAACAAAGTGAGGCCCTCAGGGCCATGCGCCTGACCCTGTCTCCTGCACTCTCACGTGGACAAACGCAGGCTGCTCCTCACAACGCCACGGACCAGCTGTCCTCATCAGGGCATTGAGAGGACAGGAAAAGACAGATGTGCGAAAGTCCCCGGGCGGGGCCTGGCACAGCACGACTCGGAGCACAGCACTCTCCCCTCTGGTCAGAAACACGCACCAAGCACCCACTGCCTTCTTGGCACCACGCCTGCCTCTGGAGCCCGGGGCCCTAAGGGACATTAATACTGAGTTTGTCAGCACCTGCCCCTTCAGGGCACTATTCTCAGCCCTATAAGGAAGGCAGGAAGACAGAGACCCCTCCGCCCTAGACAAGACACAGGTACACGGCCGAGTGACACACGACAGCACACAGGAAAGACAAGACGGGCATGGACAGGCCTGCCTCAGATGACCACGGGCCAGGTGACCAACCAGCACAGGAACAGAGCCGGGAGGTGCAGCAACCACCGGACACCTCGTTCCAAACGCTTTAGGTGGCGCCTGAGACCAGCAGGCTCCACGGCATCGCGCCAGGCAAGCAGGGCCCGGGGTGAGCCTTCACGGGGTCAGCAGGGCTGTGATGGACAGAGGACGGCCCCACAGGGACTGGAGACCTCGGGAAGCGGGGCAGAGAAGAGTGGGAACCTCTCAGGACACGCCAGGCTGAGAGGAGGATGAGGATGGAGACGGAAAGGTTGAGAAGGGAGAGCAGGCCAGCTAGTGAGGCCCCCTGAGCCGGGAGGGCAGCCCCCCGGGCTTCCTGAGACAGCAGGAGGAGCAGAGAGTGTGGAACCGTGGGCGACGCCTCAGTCCCCTCTGGGCCATCAACACCATAGAAGGCAGGAGCGGGAGAGCTGAGCTCCAGGTGGGAGGGGGGCGATCAGGCTGAGGCCAGCAGGTGAAGCTCAAGACCACCCCGTGAGACACCAAAGCTTCCAGAAGCCATGTGAAAATGGCAGAAAGCACACACAGGCTTTGGGGCCATGAAGACCCAGCTCTGTTCCTTACTAGACGTGTAGCTGTAAAAAGTGACTGAGCCTCTCTCAGCCTTGTCTCTTCATCTGTCAACTGGGGAGAATGATCCACACCTGGCAGACCATAAGCAAATGTGCTTGCAGTGCCCGCACGGCGCCTATCACACCTAGGTGCTGGGGGAACAGCTTCAGTGAGCCGGACCAGATCCCAAGCCTTGAAGGACAGCCTCAGAAGATGGGCTGGACCTGAGAATAATGATGCGGAGCAGAGGGGTGACACGAGGAGAGCAGGGCCTCTGGGGGCCATGGGCAGCAGTGGCCAAGGCTAGCCTCTGCCGGAGAAGGGCACCCTCCTGGCCTCTCCCTGACCTGAGGCCTTCCACACTTCCCCACCCCTTTGTTTTGGATTCCCTCACCCTGGTGGAGGGTTAGATAGACACACACCCAGTGGCTGGCCAGGGTTCCAGGGGACCAGCACCCCACAGAGCACCGGCCCAGAGCTCCTACGGAAGACGGAAGGTGGTCTCCACCCCACAGGTCAACACTCCTGCCGAGAGCAAGCAGGGCCGCGGCCCCCTCCCCAAGCTCCCCCAGGCACCCCTAAAGCCGAGCAGGCCCTCCCTCAGAGCCAGGCCTGCCCCTCCCCTGGCATCCTCAGAGCATCGAGCGACAGCTGCACCCTGATGCTGGCACTTTCCAGGCACCGTCCTCTCGACACCTCTGTCCCACCTGACAAACGAGGCAACTGAGAGGTGCAGTGACTCACCTGGGTTGCAGAGGGACTGGTGGAGTCGGGGACTCTCCGGGGCTGGGCCCTGGGCCCCATCTGCTGCAGGGTCCCAAGGGGGCCCCAAGAACACCTGTTTCCTCCGATGCACACCTCTCGAGACGGCGAGAGTGCATGTGGGGGTTCAGGTGCCCGGAAGATGTCGCACAAGTTCAAAAGAAGGAGTGGAGAGGAGAACAGCAAACCCTCCCCCATACTCCTTCTACCCCAGAACAGAGTATACGCAATTCTTAGGAACACCAGAGTTGGAGGCCCGCTGACACAGCCTAAGGAAGAAGAGAAAGGCCAGTCCCCGAGCGCACCGCCCTGGACCCCCGTCAGGGCTCGGAGTGGACGCTGCGAGACGGGGAATAAGGAAGGCCCATCCCACTCACTCTCGCTGCCGCCTCTCTAGTCCCAACAGTTCTACGCTCTGGGGCAAGGGTGAGGACTAAAGTGTATTCATGATGTAACGCCACTGCATTCCTCTGCTGTCCCAGGATACTCCAGACCCAGCTTCTCTTCCTGCCAGGCCTCCACCATCTCGCCCCTCTCCCCACCATGCCCAGCACCTGTCTACACGGCACCCTGCAGAAGGGGTCACCCGTGGGGTGGGCTGCTGCGCTCGCCTGGGCCTCAGGCCGTACCAGGGCCCCTTGTGCTTCCCAAACAAGGCCGCGCTGTGAGCGGGCACGCTGGGCACAGATGTGAAGGGGCCGCCCAGAGCTCTGCCTCCCGTGGGCCAACTGCAGCTGGCCCCCAGGCCGTGTTCCCCAGCCAGTCCCCAGGGTGGGACACAGCTCTCCCCGGCCCAGGGTCCCCGGCCAGCTGCCTCCTGCAGGGCAGCACCCAGACCAGCCAGCACAGAGAGTGTGTGTTCGCTTCCAAACGGGCTCCCGCAGCCCCCAAACACAGTGTCTCAGAAACAACTCTCCGGAGGCTCCTGGCTTGAACACGCTCCTCACAGAGAAGCTGGGGGAAGGATAAGGGCCACTGCCCCTCGGCCTGCTCTCCTGGCTCTGCACTCAGGGGTCTGCAAGGGCATCACAGCCCAGACCAACACCTACTGCAGCTCCGTGGGGATGGCTCAGCCAGCACCCCACGTCCCCGCTGCATGGCCATCCAAAGGGTGTCCCTTGCCTCCCCTGCCATCAGCCCCCACCGGTGCCCGAGCCCCCATCTTCCCAGTGGGCCTAGGGGACAGGGACGTCCCCTCCTGCATGGACGCCCTCTGACCCCAGCTGACTCTTGTCCCTCTGCAGTCAATGCCAGAGGATCTCACTCAATAGCCAGGGATGCCCACGTTGAGCTGAGCCGTGGGTGGGCCCTGGGGGCAAGAAGGAACCAGACCTGCCCCACCTCAGTGACAGACATGCAAACAGCAGTGATGAGCCCTGGGGTGCAAGCTACAGGTGGCCCCCAGGAGGAAAGCATGGCCCACTTGGAGGACGCAGGCTGGCTTCCAGGAGGGCCTGAGCTGGGTGTGCAGGACTTGAGGGCACAGGGCAAGTGGGCCATCCAGGGTTTCTCAGTGCAGGGGCAGAGGGCAGGGGAGCTGTGGCTAGTGCTGCATGGGCCCAGGGTCCATGTGGCATGGGTCCCTGTAAAAGCAGGTAACAGCAAGGTAACCTATCCCTGTCCGAGGACCCACTCCCATAGGAAGGGGGTAGGAAATTCGCTTCCTTGATGACCAAACCCCCTGCCCTCCTTGGCCCTAAATGGTGCTGGGCTCACTCGCTTGGTGTTCACAGAGCAAGAGCAGGAGGGCGCTCAGCTTCCAGCTTCTCCAGCTCAATCTTCACCCACCTCTCCCAGGATCCCCCAGGCCCTGCAGGTGGGCTGAGGCCAAGCCCATGGCAGCTTCCCAAATTAACCCCCTTAAGAGAAGTGAATCCTGACACCTACCCCCAGACGCCAGTCACCCCCTATATCAGTCAAATCCAGAGCTGCCTTAACCCCCAAGGGAGGGTCACCCCAAGCCTTGAATGTGACCTCAAATTCGCCCCCTCCTGCTACCACCCTTGGCCCCTGAAAAGCCAGCCTCTCCACCCAACCTGAGGGCACACAGAGCCCCAGCTCAAGTGACCACTCCATGTCCACAGCCAGGGAGCCACCACTGACTACCTTTAGCCCTGGTCTCACCACCCGCTGCCTCTACCCAAGGACCAGTGAGTGACTCCTTGCCTGGAGCCAGGGACCCGGAGGGGGTGACTCAGGGACGAAGGGAAGAGCATCACTCTGGCCAGCTCTGGGGCCAGGCCACAGGGACCCTCAGCTCCCAGACCTGTGCTTCCCTCACCTTCCACCCAACAGCTTAGCCTGCTCTGGGGAGCCCCTGCCACTCCCAGCCCGGCGCTGCAGCTCAGGGGCTGCCCTAAGATTTCTTCCCAGCCCAGCCAGTTGCCCTCAGGACAGGGACGCAGCTCCAGAGAAGGACCTGAGAGTGGACAGATCAGGATTTAAATTCCCAAGGCCCCCACCCCAGCTGTATGGCCTTGGAAGAGTTGCTGAACCTCTCCAAGCCTCAAGTGCCTCATCTGTAAAATGAGAATATGAGCATGCCCTGAAGGATCAAGGCTCGTGTCTATAAAACCCACAGCAGCACCTGGTCCACAGGAGGTACTCAAGTAGCAGTGTTCCCTAAAAGGCTTTCAGAGCACCCCACAACCTGAGGAAGCTGGCAGAAGAGGGCAGGTGCTCCAGCAGCCTCCAGGAGACAGAATCAAAAGCAAAGACTTCAGGCTTCTTATTCAAGCCCTCATTTTGCAGGTGAGAAAACAGAGCCCCAGCAGGCAGGGGCTCACTCAGGGCCACAGAGGAAGTAGACATCTCTGTCACGAGGTCCACTTGGGCCTTGAAATGCCTCCCACTACTGCCCTAGGGGACAAGCAGCCACAGGGACTCCCATCCCTGCCACGGGGAGCCTCGTGGCTGAGCTCCTCTGAAAGGTGAAGGTGCACTTGGCCCTGGGGCTTTTTCCAGAATGCTACCTGACTCTTTCCCAGCATGCTCCCTGCCTCTCTCCCAGCATGCTGCCCAGTCCTCTCCCAAGATGATCCCAGGCCCTCTCCCAGTTGATCCCCAGCCCGCTCCTAGCACGCTCCCTAGGCCTCTCCCAGGATGCTCCCAGGCCCTCTCCCAGCATGCTCCCAGGCCTCCACCCAGGATGCAACCAGGCCCTCTCCCAGCATGCTCCCAGGCCTCCACCCAGGATGCAACCAGGCCCTCTCCCAGCATGCTCCCCAGCGCTTTCCCAGATTGCTCCCTGGCCCTCTCCCAAGATGCTCCCAGGCCCTCTCCCAGCATGCTCCCCAGCGCTCTCCCAGGATACTCCCTGTCCCTCTCGCTGGATGCTTCCAAGCTCTCTCCCAGGATGCTCCCAGGCCCTCTCCCAGCATGCTCCCCGGCCCTCTCCCAGCATGCTCCCCGGCCCTCTCCCAGCATGCTGCCCAGTCCTCTCCCAGCATGCTCCCCGGCCCTCTCCCAGCATGCTCCCAGCCCTGGCTGGTGGGCTGCCAGAGTTCACCAACGGAGGCCCCCTCCCCCAGGCTCCATTCCAGCTGCAGGGGCCTTGGAAGGCACCATCAGTGCTTTCTGAGGCCTCAGACATGGACAGGGAGCGGGGTGAGGCCTGGTTCCTCCCAGCCCCCAGCCCGGGCCCACCTGGCCTAGAGGAGCTTAGACGCTGACCTCACTCCCCACGCCCATGCTCATGCTCATTCCTCGTGGCCTCTTCCAGCCTCCATCCCCATCTGTCACTCACTGGGGCTGGCCGGCAGAAGCCACAGAGCCACGGCCCCACTCTCCCTCTCTTCCTGCTACCTTAGGCCTCCCTAGGGAGCAGAGAATCGCCAGGGTCATCTCACGTCCCCCTACCACTGTCCTCAGATACAGCCACAGAAGTGTCTTATTGTAGACTCAGCTGATCTCCATGGGGGAAGGTTTCAGGGATAATCCATCAGGGTATTCAGAGCCCTTCGGTCAGGAAGTCCTCCCTTGGATCTAACCACTGCCCCCAGGCTGCCAAGGTGATCAAGCCCCTTCTGTCACAGATCCCTGGCCTATAGAAGGACTTGGTAAGGATGCCTTTAAAGTCCCTTGCAGTCTTGGGAACCAGACAAGTATGAGTCTGAATCTACTTCCAAAGCTGGATGGCCTTGGGAAAATTACCCAAGTTCTCTGAGCCCCAAGTGCTTCACCTACAAAAGAGGAACGATGACACTGGTCGCCTTATGGGGTTGTTGGGAGGCATCCACAAACAGTCTACAAACGGCCGGCCCGGGACCTGCCACACAGCCAGGCACAGTCACTGCACAGCAGGGGCCCAAATCAAATCTGTCTGGCCCAGCCTCCCCAATAAGCCCTGCCATGCCACTCTCACAGGAAGCTTCTACAGCTCCCAGTTGCCTTGATATTCAAGTTTTTCCAGAGCATGGCCACGATCTATTGCCTTCTCCCACCCAACCCCCATACCCCACTCTCCCTTTCTGTCTTACCAAGGACCTAAAGTACACCTGGCCCCTCTTCTTTCCCAGGGTCCACGCCCTGTGCCAGTGCTCTCTCCTCCAGGAAGTCTTTCGTGACCTCGCCAGCCCACACTGATTCCCCTTCTCCAAGCTCCCTTACTCCACAAATTCGGCTCCTGACATTTTCCACCTGGCAGCCATAGTTGCATTTTCGCAAGCTCCCTAAGGCCAAGGGCCACCCACACTCACCAGCTGCTTGTTGAAATTCTGGACACACTGTTCAAACTGCTCATCCTTTGTCTCATCTGCCTTCCCCAGTTTCTGGAGGACCTGCCAAGGCAGAGGGAGAAGAGAAGAGTGTTACTCAGAGAAAAAGAGTGGCCAAACCAAGAGGGCCCAGTCTCCGATACCACAGACCCCTCCCCACCCAGCCAGGGTCTCGGAGCCACGGCCAACAGCACTGGGGACGGTCAGGAGGTCTCGCAGCTGCTGTGACCCCCCAGGGCAGGACTGAGCGCATGGAGTCCTGAGACCTCTCCACCCTCTCTCCAGGGCTCGCCCCTCGGCCAAGAGGAGGACCTAGGACAAGCCTGCCGTCACCACCGGAACCAGGAGGAGGGGGATTCCAAGACAGCACGAGGGGCGGGCACCTCCTTGCTGATCTCACACTGCACCTGGGCTCTCCGCCCCTACCCCGGCTGCTGGAAAGTGAGCTGAGCATGAGACGGGCCAGGTGGGAGACACAGGACTCCACTTCCCGAGCCCAAGGCTCACGAACAGCATGGGGAGGAAAAGCCGCCCCTGAGCTGGGAGGCGACACCCCACGACAAGGAGGGCAGCGAGGGCGCTGGGGCCCGGCTCTCCTATCACTAGGAGTGAGCGCCCCATCTGACTAGATTTTCAGATGGGACCTGCTCCAGCCTCCTGCTCTCTCCTCCTCCACCCAGCAGGCCATGCTGGGCCACTCCTGGCACTCACACTCACACTGACACACACACGCATTCACACACACACAGCCTCACGGCCACATGTCCTACTCCCAACTGGAAATCTCCCTTCTGGTGACTCACAACTGTCCCTTTTCAGCTGTGTCAGGGGAGAGGAGGTGGAGAGTAGAGGCAGGGAGATGGTGGTAAATGCAAGGAAGGGGATCCATGGCCAAGAGAGGGGGAAAGACCTAGAAAAAGAGGAAGCTGGACCAGGAGCGTGAGAGGAAGCCCTCACCAGGAGGGCTGGCCCACCAGACTCTCCCAGATCCCCCTCTCTCAGATCCTGCCAGGTCCAGCCCCAGAGCTCTCTCTGTTAAGAGAAAAGAGAGAGAAAGAGAGATAGAGGGAGGGAGGGAGAGAGGGGAGGTAAAATACACAAAGAGGGGTGAGGGCCATGGGAGAGAGAGCAGGGAAAAAGAAAGACGAGAGATGGGGGCACAGAAAGGGGATGCTGAGGCAGAGATGGGGGTGGCTTTGCAGGGAGAGAGGGAGGCAGTTCCCCTCCACAGCCCCGGGCAGGCACCTCCACGGGAAGCAGAAAGGACAACATTGAAATGATCAGCAGAGGCAGCAGCCAAAACCCAACGAGAATGAGAAGGAAAACAGGTGGCAGTGGGTGGGGCTGGCAGGTGGAGGGAAAAGGAGGGCCCAGGGCAAGGACGAGCAGCAGGTGGGGCTGGGCCCAACAGGACCAGGGGAGCCTGTGAGCAAGCGGGCCAGGCCGGCAGCAGTCCGAGGCCAGCAGGTCATCACCAGCACTCCCTTCATCTATGTCCTCCTTTCAAAGTCCCTGAAGTGGGCCACATTGCCTGGAACACAGCTTTGCCTGCCCAGGACCCAGGCCAGGGTCCTGGACTGAGGGCTGCCCAGTCCCAGAGCAGAGCCTGGACCCTTGCCACCCGTGACTGGCCCTGGGCTGGCCTGTGCTGCCCTGTGGCACTTTCTCCCGCAGTCCCAGGAGCCATGGTGAGGCCAGTCAGCTCTCAGGCCCTCTCTCTCATTGTGTAGTACATTTGGCCCTTTCTCACCAAGCGCCTGCTCTGTGCCCAGCCCTGGGTGTCTCTCTTGGGGGCAGCAGAGATCAAGCAGACCTGGGTCCAGGCCTGAGAGAGAGGGAAGTACATGGGACTGTGGGAGCCCGGGGTGGAGATCCTATCCAGCCTGAGCAGTCAGGGAAGGCTTCCTGGGGGAAGTGGCAGCTCGGACGGAGGCGAGGGCTTACAGCAAAGGTAAGGAGACCAGACAGATGAAGTACATTACCAGGGAATTTTGAATTGCTCAAAGTGACTGGAGGTCACAGAAGATGGTGACAGAGGGTGTGAGTGGTGGGGGGGGGAGGCGCTGGGGGTGCTGGGGAGTGGCCCACCAACACCTTTGTGCTACAACAGTCAGGACAGTCTACCAGGCAAGTGCAGCTGGATGCCAAGGGCTGACACCGGGGGGAGAGGAGAAAAGCAAAACAAAACTGCCATGAGCAAGAAAGCCGGTCCTCCCACAATCCGCAGGCCCCCATTCTCCAGGCAGCCATACCCAGTGGGTCCTGCGGGAACAGGACAAAGCCTCACAGGGCCTGGCCCGCTCAGCGCAGAGCTGGGGTGGGTACCTCACCCCCAGCAGATGCCCGTCCCATGGCCCACCACTTGCAAAGAGAGAAATGGGCCACCAGGTGAGAAAGAGCCTCCAGAAGCCATCAAGGGCCACCAGAATGAGCCAGAGGCTCCAGGGAGCAGGGGCAGGGCTGGCTAGCCCGCAAGGCAGGAGGCCTGGGGAGGCGGCCCTGGCCAGCCCCCCAACTCCTTCTCCCTGAGGAGATGCGCTCAGTCAGCAATGTGCTCAGCCCCGGCCTGCCATCAGGCTCCCGAGGGCTCCAAGGCCCCAGGTGTGCAGACAGACACACAGCCGCCCACTCCCCGGACACAGCTGCGAGCCCCACCCACACAGCTGAAGCCTGCAGGGAGATGTGAAGGCCCTGAGAAAGGCCACCACCGTGAGACTGGGCCAGGCCACGAGAAGGCCCCTGGGAGAAGGCACAGTCTCTCTCAGAGCCTCAAGTGCCTGTCTGAAGACAGAGACACGAGCACTGCCCTCAGGCTCAGCCTCTGAAACAGGCCTCTGCCCCTGGCTGTGGCACATACACAAGCAACAGCCATCCCGAAAAGGCCTCAGAGCAGCCTTCCCACAACCAGGCGCAGGGCCTGACACCAACCCACCCTCAGGCCAGGCCCAGACTGACCGCATCCCGAGATGCCAGACAGATGTCACGTGCACACACACTGTACACATGTACACGTGGGCAGGCACGCACTCACAGCAAACTCCTATTCACCTGTCAAAACCTTGCTCAGGCAGCACCTCTTCCGTGAAGCTGCCCCTGCCCTCTCTCTCCCCTACACCACTCCGTACCACTTAGGGCCTGGGACCTACTCTCCTCATTGCTAGACAATGTGCCGGAGTGTTCGCCTCTGGCCCTGCCCCAGTCACATGAACAGCCTGAGGTTGGGGAAGTGTCCAGCCCTCTCTGTGTCCCCAGCTCCTGCAAGGGCTGGGCACAGGGGGGACACACAACAAATTCTTGGCAGCGGCTGGCTAATCTGAGCTGTGGATCTGGAGGGCAGAGTTGTGACCTTGAACAAAACACCCCATCTCGCAGTCTCAGTCTCCTCCTATGTAACATGGGAGGGTCACGTATGGAAAGTACTCCCCTGACACACGGACAGTCCCCAAGAGGCGGCCGTCAGAATTAGGACCAGATCTGGCCTTCGTGTTCATCTGAGGTCTGCTTCTGGGTAATCTGGGCGGGCTCCAGCGGGTCCCGGCCCTGCAGAGGCTGTGTGGAGGGGATGACCAGCACGGAGGCTGGGCAAGGCTCCCGGCTCCGTGTGACCTCAGGCTGATGCCTCCCCTCCTCTCCACACTTCAGTCCCCACCTCTGACATGGCAGTAATCACCGTGACACCACGTGGCCAGGGCTCAGGAAAACGCCAGGTCAGTGCATGCCGGCCCGGGCCAGGTTTCACCTGGCTGCACGCACTGCCCCAGTCTATAGAGGGGAGGGGGACGCGCAGCCTGGGGCCTTGACCTCAGGGAGCTCCCAGTGTGGCTACTGGAGGGAAAAACAAGTGGGCACCACCAGCCCCAGAAAAGGGCCAGGACAAAATTCAGTCCACCAAAATCCCACAGCCTGGATGGCCACCCACTTCCTACTTCCCACCCTCCATAGCTGGGCCTCCTGCCACGCCCCGGCGCTGGGGAGAGGCCTTTCTGACTGGCCACTGGGGCCAGACTACAACCACCCTCCCTGCCACTGAGAAGCTGCTCAGCCATGCCAGGACCTGTCCCCGTCCCGCGGGGAGGCCCCGAGGCTGATCTCTCCAGCCCCCACCAGCGCCTCCATCCAGCCTGCACGCCCACACTCAGAGCCCCCTGCTTGCTGAGCCGGAAGCTGTGGCCATGGCCGCGGGCACGCAGGGGCTCCCCCACCCAGCACACGGTTAGTGGAGCGTCCCCGTGCCAAGCTCACAGACAGGCCTCGGGGGCAGCAGGGGCCTCCGGGGGTCCAGGTGGGCCCGGCCCCCAGGGCTCAGGGGACTGGGGATGACTGAGCTGGGTTTTGAAGGATGAGCAGGAGTTAGGTGAGCAGGAGGGCCCAGAGCAGCGTCAGGACTCCCACTCTCTTGGTCTCTCTCATGCGGCAGGGGGTCCCCCCCCCCCCGACCCTCCTGGGTCACCCTTATCACAAAGCTTTCTGGATGCTGCGATGGAGGACAGGTGCACCTCGGGGTTAGCCCAGGGGCAGGGAGTGGGGATGAGTGCAGCAGCCCTTGTGCCAGCAGTCCAGGAAGGCCTCTCAGCACCACCCCGTCTCCTGTCACCACATCCTCGGTTCAGCCAGATAAGAGTGGAGCTAAAGTGTCTCAAGAGGGACAATCCAGGGCAGGGCAGAGAGGAGCTGGTGGCACCATGAACCTCCTTCTGACAACATTCACAGTTCAGCCTCACTGAGCCAGGCAGCGAAGGCTGGCAGCCCCTCCCTGGGGCCCCCTGGGGCTCAGCAGGAGCTTCCTGTGGCAGGGGAGGGGCGTGCCCCTTCCCCAGTGCTCAGCTGTGGCCTTTCTCACAGCCCAGGGCATCCTCAGAGGCCAGGAATGGCCTACTCCCCACTGAACAGGCGGGTGTCCTGCCAAGCCCTCTCCTGGCCTCTGACTAGCCAGCAAACAGCCCCGGGGACAGCAAGCCCACGATGCCAAGTGCCACGCTGCACGGCCACCAAGCCCAGAGGGACAGGAAGACCCTCCAGGGCCAGTCTTGTTTGAACAAGGAGCAGTGTATCACTCACTGCCC